GGATTAAGAAACTTAAGAAATTAGTATCTAAGAAATATTATTAGCCTAGATAGGTAACTAATATAAAGTACTATATTAATAATTATCTAGTCTATAAAAGGACTAAAATATAGAGAGACTAAACTCCTAGCCTATTATATCTATTACCTATATCTAAATAATCCTAGTAGTATATTATAATAGACTTTAGATTATTCCTAAAGAACTATTATAAATATAATACTATCTTTATAGTTATAGACTATCTAAGTAAAAGGCTAGTATTAATTCCTTACTAGAAAGAGATAGATATAAAGATAATAGTATAGCTCTTTATAGACTATATTATTAGGATTATTAGTATCCTAAATATAATTATCTCTAATAGAGGTAGATAGTTTATCTCTAAATTCTAGACTAAGTTCTATCGGATCCTTAGGATTAAAAGAAAGTTATCTATAGCTTACTATCCCTAAACTAATAGATAAAGTAAGATTATAAACTAGTATATAGTATAGAGATTCCGACTATATATAGAATAGAACTAGGATAATTAGTTAGAATACCTACTAATAGTAGATTTCGTGGTATTAATCCTCCCTTAAGATATAATAAAAAAGTCTCTATTCTTTATTAAGAGAGGCTATAAACTAGTAATATCCTTTAACTAGAGGGACTAAGTAATATTAACTTTAAATAAGTAAGGAACTATAGATATACTCTTATATCTATAGGATATCTAGGTAGAAATAAAGAACTAGATTAAGAAGTCCTAGTAGTTATAGATTTAGTAAGTAAATAAATACTACTAAGAAGAAGACTTTAGTATCGGTAACTATATCTTTATAATAATAAAGGACTAGTAGTAAGATAGACTAAGTTAGAAGCTCTCCTATCTTACAAGTAGCCTATATAAGATTACTAAGAAAGTAGGATATTCCTATTATCTTAAATTCCTAGAATTAATTAAGGTATACCTAATATTCTATCTAAATAAACTCCGAAGAGTAGCGACTACTAAACTATTACTTAGATAATACCCCAACCTACTACTACTACTTAGGATTAGTAAAACTAATAAGTAGGAAGTTAATAAGATTCTTAATACTAGGATATACTATCGAAAACTATAATACTACGTTTAGTAGCTAGGATATAACCTAGACCTATAATAGTACCCTATAAGTAACTTTAAGAATACTCCTAAGAAGATTAAGCAGTTCTATGATTAATACCCGTAGAAGCCTAGACTACCGATACAGTTATAAGAGTGGACTAACGCTATAGATAAGGATAGATTCTTAAACGACTATATTAACGATGATAAACCCACATTTAGGGGCTAAATATATTCTTAGCCGGGGGTTATATAATAATCTAAGGACGATTGTACTTGCTAAACGGGGCAGGAGCGGTCACGTCCTCGTACTTACTAAACGAGGTAGGAACGACTATGCCCTTATACCTTCCTAAGAAGACAAACGAGAATTAAGCGAGATAAACGTAAGGGTATAAGAAGGGAAGAACGCGCACTCAGATAGTTTCTCTTTTTCCTTTTCTTCTTCGTACTTAGAATTTGATTGGAATTGCACTCTTTTCTTCTGAATCGAATTGGCTCGTAATACCTAGGTCATGCTTAGTACGCATCTTGCTAAGCGAGGCTAGAGAGAGGAAAGAGGAGGGGAAATCTATTACAGCTTTTTTGATCAGAATAAGGAATGTACCTTTGTATGGGCTGAATATCCGCCCTGAATGCCCTGGATAGAGCGGCGAGCCGCCCATGCCCGAACCGTGGGCGCAGGCGACCACCACCTTAGACGTGCTGTCGTATGTTTTTATAGCAGATAAAAGGAAAATGAATTGATAGCAAGAAATAAAAGGCATGATGTTTATGTAGCTAGGAATATCATATCAACAATGGTCCTAACAAGGATGGCTGGCTTCAGACAGCTAGATCCACAACATCTATTTTCCCACACATGCCATTAAATCAATGGCTATGCTCACGTCCTTCTAATTTGCAGCACGATCCTCCCATAGCAGCTCTAGCCAGATTTGCGCGGCTCATCTTATTAGGCTCATGGTGAGGCTCGCGGACAAATTCAGGCTGTCGGTGCCCTTTGCTGAATTTCCCTGGCGTATTCTTAGCCGCAACATTCTGCTTGTAAATCATGTTGAGCCAATTGGCTAGTCGATAGCCGCCTTTAGCAATCTGGAGCTCGATCGTGCCGATGGCGGAGTTGTAGTATGTCGGGTATAGATCGCCAGTCTGCAAGGCAGCAGCTCCATCCGGCATGACAACAGTGCAGACAAAAGAATTGGCATCCGATGCCCATCGAGTGGCAGTGGTAATAGTATCACTGATGGTATCGCCTTTGACCCAGCTCGCCGCTTGCTTTTTGTAGGTGCCGGAAGTGATTTCATCGACTAGGCTGTCGGCCCATCCCTGCGCATCGGCGAGCGAACTACCGCCAATCAGCTGTACAGGCATGTATGTATCCCAGTCCGAGTGAAGGTTGTCAGAGTAGTTGTTGAAAGTGACGCTGATGCCATTTCCGCCAACCTCGTAGTTCTCGTCGTGCAATGGCTGCGTGAGATCACCAAGGAAGTGCACGAGGAATCTGAGAGCTTCGGCGGTATTGGCAGTAGTAAGTCTGCTATCGCCTGCACGTTGGGTGTAATTGGCAATGGCAGAGATCGAGCAGCCTTCGGCTCCACAGTCGCGCTCGTAGTCTACGTTGCAACTTGTTGGCGGGTCATCCATGGCATCGATGTAGTGCAATGGGGCTGACCATTTGCCGTCATCTTTGAGGCGGTATTGATCTGCCCAAGAAGCAATGTTTGCTAGGTATGAGCTGGAATTATCGTTGAGAATTTCTTGTGCCCTTTAAATATATTAGCAATGGATACTGTGCTATCTGGAAGCTCTTTCGGAGGACTTACCATGATGCGGCTTCAGAAGAAATGTAATGTTGTGCCACATAGGCAACAGTCGCGTGGCCTAATACGCCCCACGCATTTGCGCCATGAATCGCCCCAAAGGTGACGAAAGCAATCCTAAATAGAGACACCATTGTTGGAAAACTTCGAAGGAGTCACAGTCCAAAGTGGGTCGCGGGGTGTTTGTTTATGAAGGTCAGCGAAAACCCAACTACATTATATAGTCTCGAGTGCCGGCGGTTTCCACTTGCTGCGAGTCCCGTTGCCATGAAGCCAGCCGATGTTACAGCCAAAAAAGAAGATCTATGCAAGAGGTTGTCAGGAGATAAGAACACGGTGATCTCCTACAGAGTATGATTCGTGAACGAAATTGCGGGGTCGGCGTTAACGTGCCAGGGCCACCGGAGACCACCGGCGCTGAAGAAATGGCTCAAACGGCTATCTCAGGGTCTTCAACCTCTAATCTGCAATTAATATGATATGAAATAATAGATTGGGGTTGTCTGTGATAGATGAAGGGATTGGCAAACAATCAAACGTATGCAAGTAAAACTCGGGAATTACCGAACATCCAGACAGGCGGAGGTTTGCAAAAGAGTGAAAATACTGGCAAAGACCGAGGAAATTGACATGAGCCATTCTGCGCCGATCTTACCTAATGTATTCCGCTTGTGGGATAAAAGAAGCGAGTGTAACAGTAAAAAGAAAGGATTATGCAACACCACCGAGGCCTCCCCGCATCAGAAGGAGTTGTGCGCATTTTTCTTTTGCAAGTGAAGCCTTCTGCTCGTAGGTTGTACACGTAGCGTAATGGCGTTTTGTAGAACTAGCATGACTTCGCATGACATAGTTATACTATCACGGGCTGTTGTTCGATGGCCGCATCAATATGGGCCAAGGTCGCTTTCCCAGCAGCAAGTATCCAAGCTGTTGCTTGAGGTGGACGTTTCTTTCAATGACCATACCATCTGACGCCTAAGAAGCGTTGTTCCTTATTAGATCAATATATTGTGGTCAGTTTCGTGAGCCGTGGTTGGAGACGGATTGTAGGTTCCATGGTTGAGATGGAGAAGAAGTACCCTGGGTACCTTGGAAGAATCGGTCACGCCTGAGGTCTATTTTGACCGCAAGATTAATGGTAAGATTGATATCCTCTCTTCACAGCCTCTGGTGATTATATCAGGGAAACTCCTTTTATTTTCAGTGCCTAGCCGTTAACTGAGCAAAATCCCTCTTTTACTCTATAACTCTCTGTATATATAAGCTAAGCTTAAATCTCGAACCCCCAAACCATACTATGCTAGCGCCTTTTAGTCAATTACTTGATTCAAATACCGGCTAGTCAATAAGATTGTGCAGCCGACGGTAGTCGTATCAGCCACCAAAGCAACGGCATTTTGCCACAGAGATAGTGGATATTGTAAGAGTAGCTTCTTAGGCTTTAGCGTGTGAAAAGGAGATTGTTGCCGAGGCCAAGAATGATCCGAAAGCAAATATATCGCCGTGGGTGAAATTCAGGTCTTTCGAGATTGAAACAGAATGATTCAGAGTAAAACCAATAGCAATGAAGGCCATCAAGCTCAGAATATGGGTCCAGATGTTCATTGCTTCCATATGTAAACAGCGCCATAGACGCAAGGATCATTTGTAAGAATGTGCGGGCATCATTATCACGTAGCCATCCTGGGATCTGCTCTTTGCTTCCAAAAGATGGCCAATACTGATTGTCCAGCTTGGATGTGGCTGCCGAGCTCTCAGTCAACAATCGGGAGTCTTCGAGTGGGGATGTCGCGCGCCGGGTCATCCTTGAAGTCGTTCAAGAATCTGAATGTATCCAGCACTGAAATGACAAATCGAGGGGCCGTGGGGATCTTGAGATATTTCGAGAGATGACATAAATCTTAACGACATGGCAGGCTAAGAGAATGGTATGTTCCTACACGTAACGCTATCATTTCGGTCCAGATTATTAAAGTCTCACGTTGTCAAGGACAGAGGCCGCATGAGCGCCGAACGCATTCCTGTGAATTTCTATTTCATTGCTTTCTATCCACTCTCAAATATTCTCATGTTAAATTCGTCTACTGCTGCACGGAAGCCTCGGCCCGGTCCTGAACCGTCTTAGCAATAGCAGGACGTTCCTGTACCAGTTTCAACCAAGCAGCGACATTGGGGAACTCCTTCCCCATATCAATCCCAAACCGGCCAGTAATCTGATACCAAGGAACGAAAGCAGCATCGACATATGAGAATTTGTCACCGACGAGATACTGCTTCCCCTGGAGGGCCCGGTTGAGCACGCCAGAGACACGGCGGATTTCGCTGACATAGCGGTCAATTGCACTTTGCACCTTCTCTGGGTGGTAGCGGCTGAACCAAACAGCCTGGCCGAAGTATGGACCTTGACCGGACACCTGGAAGTGGAGCCATTGCTTGGCGAGGTAGTAGTCCTTGGAGCCGGCGGCAAAGCTGATGGTGTTTTGCTTGTCGTATGTGTCAACCAAGTATTCGAGAATCGCGCCGGATTCCCAAAGGGTGGTGTCGGTATTGGGGTCTTCAATCGCGGGGACGCGTCCGTTGGGATTGATGGACTCGAATGGCTCTTTCTTCATGTCTGCGAAGTTTATGAACTTGTGGATGTAGGGGATATCCAGCTCTTCCAGGATCATGATCACTTTCCAGGGATTGGGGCCCGTGGCATGCCCGTAGACGGTGATAGGCTTGAGAGACATTGTTGGTTTTGGTGAGGTATTTATTTGGATTGAAGGTGGGAAATAAAAAAGTGAAGGAAAAGGAACCAGATCAGGAATGGGGCTCTCTTAAATCAAGCTTCCATCCCCCTCACCACCCCACAATGTCGATTATTCATTGTCCTACAACGTACGTTGTACACACGGCACTGTGGAACCTGAAGCTGACAAATGGTCCAAGGGGGCCGAGCGCGGAATGAGATTATTCGACGTCATTGCGAGGCAATTGAAATCCTTCGCGTTAACCGACGAGGACCGGTGTGATGTTGCCAAGTCGAACTTCCGGGTGTCTCTTATCCCGAGGTCACCTGCCCAGGTGATGACTAATGATGACTAATCTATTTTCATCTTACCTAATGCAAGTGTCCGGCCTCCGGCCTCCGGAGTAACTAACTAAGTCGAACAGGTCCGTATACGAACTAGTTACATGTTCAAATCAAGAAATTGATCCTGGGCCTGGGGCACTTGGCTTTATTTGAAGTTTTCACCATTTTGACATCTTTGTAACCTCGCACCTTTCAACCCTGATATATCTATATACCTCCAAGTCACCAGTCCCCTCGTCGGGATGGTAACACAATGCCCGTGGTTTCTGGGTTTCCGCCCTGAAATAATTTCATCCATTGTGTCCTTTCTGCCAAACAAAGATGTCAAATCTTTGCGCTTGACGTGCCAATCCCTTAGCGAGATTTCACCATTCTCCTCCTCACGCGTGTTTCTTTCGGCTAACTCGTTGAACATCCAAGTTTTTCGGGCTATAGCAGACCATCTAAGGTTTCGCCACGAAATCAGGGAGATCATCTAGGACAACTTATAGCTTATAGCCGCGCCGTTTTTATGGGTATCCGTGCGCCCAAACATCTTATACAAAAGAATGAACACCAAGGAGGGATGTCCCGGCTGGTTCATGAAGGAATACGAAAAGAACCGCTCTGAGATAAAGTATCGGAAACACCGCGACGTGGACCGACCTGACCATATTACACATCAGCACTAGATGGATGCCCAAATACCGTTAAAAGCCTGCTGGAAGTATTATCGGCAACTATTGTATGATCAGGCGTCTGTGATCGAATCCAGAGACGATGAAAAAGCCTTTCTTTACGGCCTAGAGCGATTCCCACGGCTTAAAAAAGTGACCGTTACGCCTACGGCTCACGGCTGGCTATTTGCTCCGCTATACCAGACACCTATGATCCGAGCATTTCCATACGGATTTAATTATCCGATTCCGCGAGGGTGGTACTGTGATCCTCATTACGATCTCTTGACTTGAAATTTATCGAGTTCCCTTTTGATGAATTGTGCTTGACTGGTCTACTAGAGAGGATGCGAGACGAACTGGATTGGACTTAACCACTGAAACCGACCGTCACGATCGCGATGCAAGGCCATCGCAGACGGCCGGGGAGGTTCATCAAGCTTTCAGACGAGGTGACAAGCTTTCTTTATAGCTCTGGAGAAAATCCACTGAATGGAACAGATACACGCAGCCCCAAATACGGGTACGGGACGTGTCATGATCTTTTTGAGGCGGAGTACACTCGGCCCAACGTCAAGATACAGGATCTTAAAAAGCTGGGAAGTGTTTGTTAAAAATGCTGCCCAGTTGATCTCGAACCGAAAGTTTAATCTCTTGCATTGGGTTTCAATCTTGGACACTTAGAAGGTCATTAAAACCCATTCGTCTATTCAAAAAAATCCTATCAATATGTATCAAGACATGTCCAATCGTATATTGGCACTTCATTCTAGCTACAGCTCCCATCAGAGGAAGATAAGCTGACACAGTCTATAATTATTATTTCGGTTTAGGGGTTAAGTCTTTATTCCTTACCCATAGCCGGGATCAATTCGGGAGCAATTGGTATAAATACTAAGAGGATAATAAAGGGAAATATAAAGATATCAGAAATGAAGCGATTCCGAGCTCATAACTAACGGAAAATCGTGGTAATGCGAGAGTATATTAGTTAGATTGGATGGCAGAAAAATCTCTAACGCTCTAAAATTCCCGGCTCTGATCGAGTTATAAGGTTGGAAGCCTCATCGATCGGACTAACTCTATCGGATTCTATTTCAAATCAAACCTTGGAAGTGAGATGCTAGTTAACGTCAGATTACAAATACTTCTAGGGCCATGTAGTTAAGCATCGGAGTACCTACGGAGTACATTAGGTGAGCTAAAAATTTAGCATCGGAATAAAGATCTACATGTTCGGACTACATCGGACTACCTAAAACCAGCACATCAATCGTGCTAACTCCTAATGCCCGCGGTTGGAATTTTTCCGAATCATCCCATTATATCCTTTGTACTCTGATTTCAAATCTTCAAAGGCCTCATCCTTTTAAAGTTACGAAGCCGTAAACAACCCCGCTCTTTGAGTCATCCTAAGCCACTTCGTATATCGTAATGGCTTGGCAGCTAGCATTCATCCTCAACTCTAGATATTATGTTGTATTTATCTATGCGATTTATAGTCACTAGTGGGTCTAAAACAGGCCGTTGTTAAGCGGAAAGCTACCCTTGCACATTATGGAGTGCACTCTATGTACGGAGTAGTATAACTGAAATAACATGCAGCCCTGTGGGCCTAGATTGTCTAGAAATGATCTAAGATTCCTTCGGATAAGATCCAGACCTCAACTCCGAAATAAGAATATGGTTAGCTGCACTAGCTCGGTCTAACACGTGGATACTAGGATGCAAAGCCGCACAATCACTGAAAATTGACTGCGCCCTTTCGCAAGATCCTTCTAAAATTGGAAGCCTTCACGAGTTACATATCAAAGGGCGTGCGAATTAATTACCGAACTAGGACCCCGCACTGTGGGGTGTCGTCGGTTAGGTCTAGAGGATAGATACACATGCCCCAGAGAACAAGCAGCTTCATTTATCAGACATTCTTGGCCTTCACGCTCAGAATTCCATTGGATAATTCTGAGCGACTTTTCATCCAATATTTTAGTTTTCCACCCCAGTCTTACCCTCGTATAGTCCGCTCGCCAGTAAAAATCGAACTCCGACTCTTACTCCGATCATTAGCGGCTCCACACCGAGGCGGCTGTGACTACTGACGTCTTTCTTAAGTTGTCCTGCCAGGCTTTTACAGTGCAAAAGCTTCTAGACTCGATGTATGTATACTATGACTGAGGTGGTGGGGCGTTAGCTTTCTGAGATTTTCTTTCTTCTCGGAGTGGCAGCCTGACACGGAGTGAATCACCCAAGCTCTATATAAAGACTCAATGATATCTCCGTAGAAAGAAACATTCCAATCCAATCCGTTGCAAAGCATTAAGCCTTAATATCTGAAAAGCAGCATCATTATCGCACGTTGCTCTCGAACTATAAACACCGAACCAACTCATACTCGTTTACTTTTCGTTTACGTCTTACCTTCGCTGTCAAGAAATTCTCAAGCAATCCTCCAAAATCCCCCAAACCACACACAAAATGTTCACCAAATCCTCCAAAGCGTCTTGCAAGACTACATCGAGCGCAGCCTCAACCCACTCGACCGTCTCCACAGCGACAACCCTCAATGCATCAGACGCATCAACCAAGAGCCACAAGTGGTACTCGCTCGGCTCGAAGTCCCAGAGCTCTGTACCCAACAATAATGCCATGGAGGTTGAGAAGAAGAAGCTACACAACGAGGCCATTGCCAGCTACCTCAGCCTGCGCTAAGTGGTTTCGAACCAGTGGATGGATGCATCTACTTCTGCGCCGATTATGATCACACCCGCTCGGTTCACTCGCTATACCTCGAGTAGATGCTTCCGGGCTCTTTTCTTCTTTCCTATTGTCTGTTTTGGTGCTTGGTTTGTTGGATTTGGTTCGATGCTATACTGCGTCGATTTATGGGTGCACGTGTTCGCCCCTTCGCCTCACGATGGAATGATTTGGATTACCACATACTATGTTTAATAATTTGTGATTTGCATTTGTCTTTTGATTTGTCTGTCTTTATGGTGATGTTCAACGGTTATAATCTAGGCTGTTTGGCTGGTTTACTTGGCGTTCAAAATGTCTTGTTGAAATAGAGGAATATCTCTATGCTAAAGTTCTTTCTCTCAAAGTCTGTTCTAACTCAAGTATAGCAGTTCAAATATTGATCGAGCAACGTGGTAGTACCTGGTTTTCAATAGCTCGTAAAAAACAGTAATCATTATGGAAGGTAGGCAACAAATGTACGGGAAACTCCAGCACACATGACGAACGCTCAAAGGAGGCAACTCGGAACTCAATGCATATGTATATTACAACCCAGCCATCAGCTCTGCCATAGATATGGGTTTGCGGACCGCATTCGAGAAGCCTTCGTGGAAAGTAACCCAGACTTTCCGCCCGGCCTTGGACGACTCATCAACCCAGCTGTCGTTTAGATCATTAGGCTGTGGTGCAGGCTGTTCAACCAGCCGACCAAAGAAGTCCCGTTTCACAGCTGCTTCTCTGATTGCTTTGGCTGCGGCCGTCTCAGCGGAGTTCCTGGGACCCTTGACGCCGAGTCTAGATGCGCTCATGGCATCAGACTGCTTGCGCGTTGTTGCCTTGCGATACTCTTGGTCCAGCACTTGGCGGACAGCATACCGCACTGGCGCTGTACCACCAGAAGCCTCGATGGTACTACCTTTGATCTTTGAGAAGACCACAAGTGAGTCGATCGGTCTGTTTGAGGGTATATTAGCTTTGTATGTCTCACGGAAAATTTGAAATCCCACTCACGGTTCCATTCTGTACGCCCATCCACCGTGGCTTCCTTCATGTTCCACTCGGACTTTTTCAAAAGTCACGCCCATCCCGGTCATGACACGCACGGTAGACTGGACAAGCGCACGTTCGGACTCTTTGCGGACGGTGGCGGTGCTTCTCTGCTCACCGTTTCCACGGATGATGACCGGCTTAACGTCTGGTGATAGCATGCGGATCAAGTAAGGGACCAGATCTGTGATTATACTTTCATTCGATCGGAAAATGCGAGCCATAGGTGCCGAAAACGAGGCGTGGAATGCAGTCATGGCCGCGCGGTTCTGCTTTTGTGCTTCGAAGGCAGCAAAGTCGGCTCTAGGTCCTGAGAAAGGATGGGGCTCTTCGGCTTCCTCGTCATCATCGTTCTTATCGTCGTCGGTGGTTCTGCCAGTAGCTGTAGCAAATAGATGATGGAATGCGACAACCGACTGGCTGAGGTATGGAATCAGTTCCCACTCTTGAGATGAATGAACTTTCGAACTGATCGAGTCATGGAAATGAAGCCAGTCGTGGGCGGCGTTGGGTTTGGAAAAATAATTATCATCCTGGTATTGCTGGATGGGATACGAAGCGAAACAGTCCGATACACAGCGGTCATGATCACCGCTGGAATCGACCATTTCTCGCAATCGGTTGATTGAGTGTCGTTTTCGCAGATCTGCCACACCGACAGGAATACGGCTGTTGGTGGCATCAAAGCGATCTTGGAAACTCATGCCAACAGGAGCATCAGAGAAGCCAGCCCCCTCTGTAAACACACGGTTCACAATCTCACGAACACCCCCACGACTTAACTCTTTGAAGAATGCGCTACCCTCGGTCGATGCATTGAGGACTCGAGTCTCCAGCCAGTTCCTCGTGAGCCTGAGTGATGATGGCGACGACTCGTTTCGAAGCTTGTGTGCCAGAAATTCTGCGGCAACAAGCACGCTACGAATATCGCCCTCAGCAGACCCTTGAGTTTTGCCACTGCGATTTTTTTTGCTCGCCATACCCCAGGCTGCTTCACAGAGCCTTCTAGCCCCATCACTGTCGCAGGGGATGCCCTCGCGTCCGAAGATGAACTTGACTCGTTGAACAACATTCTCCAGTGGGGCTTGACGGACAGTGATCATCTCTGCAATGGACGATGCTCTAAGAGGCCGGAGACTGCTGTGATAGAGGTCATTGCAAACCAAAATCAACGGCCGCATGAATCGGAAGTTGTCACCCTTGCGCTTCTTGCCATTATTGCCCTCCGAAGACCATTTTGCGTTCCGTTGGTCAAGCAAAACAAGGTCAATGAGGGCCTTCATGAAGCCGCCCTCACCACCACTTCCAGAACCACCAGTGACACCGTCGACTTCGTCCACCACGACACATACGGGTTTACCGGCACGGCGGACCTTTTTATCACCAACCTCCACGTTCATGCCTTTGACGTTTTCGGTTCCCAGTGCATCGCGAATGCGGCCTTTGACCACATCTCTGCTGCGATCATCACTTGCATTGATTTCAAGCACTTCAAAGCCAGCCTGTCTGGCACATACGTGGGCTAATGTCGTTTTTCCAAGTCCCGGAGGGCCACTTAATAACAAAACCTTTCGGTGGATATACTCTTCTTCATCCTCCCGGGCAGACTTCTTCGGTCGAGACTTGGCTAGACCAGGGAATACAATTGACTCCCACCCCTTGAGCCAGCGTAGGACTGCTCGGTGTGTGCGTTCATCCCCAATGAGATCGGTGAATTTACGAGCACGGTATTTCTCTGTCCACATTGCAGAGTCTAACTTCTTCTGCTTTGAGCTCACGTTGTTCGCTTCGATGGTTTGCTGGACTTGGGGTTGAGGGACTGCGTTCACGGGCTTTTTGTCCTTGGCGGCATCGTCTAGCAATTTGTGGATGTCGATACCATAATAGCTCTTCGTTGCCTTTCCTGGTTCTGCCTTGGACCGATTGGCGATCATTTGTTTATACGAAACGGGGGCCTGGGCCTTCCTTTGCGGGACAGTATGGGCCTTGCCGGAACAAGTCTTGATCTGGAATCTCTTGGGGGCCGTCGGAGCAGGCCGGGGTGTCAGGTGTAGTGGTGTCCTGGAAGAGCTAAGTGTAGCATTGATTGTCCCATTCAATTTAGTGGCTGTCGGGGGCGGTGCCAGTATGCTAGGGAGTTCCGCCGGAGGCTCTTGAAAAAAGTGCTGGGGCAGGTCATATTGATTCTTCATCTGCTCGTCCCGGAAAGCAGCGAGGTCGTCTTCATCCTCGTCGTCATCATCAACGAAGCCTCCAACCATGCGCTGGCGCTTCGGCTCTGTCGGCTGCACACCTCCTTCTGAATTTGTGACTTTCCTCTTCTGCGAATCGTTGGTCGCATTGCCAGATGTGGGCGTAAGTGCGCCCGGAGACGCTATGAACGGCATTCTCGAAATGGGCGGCGAGGATGGCATAAAAGATAGATTTCGAGTAGGAGTGCGAGAAAACGGTCTCGGGGTTGTAGCGTTCTTCGTCGGCGTATCTACTATGTGGTTGTCAGTGCCACGACTCCAGGCAATGCGGGTTTGAGGTTGCCAACCGGGTTGTATGTCGTCTTCGCTACGAAATACATCAGATAGATTCCACGCTCGATGTTGAATCACGATTCCGTTGCGGGTCTGTTCACGGCGGTGCAGGTGGATTGCCTCGAGATCGTCGGAGAATGATTCAGACGGTGGGTTTGTGTTGCCAGGTCCTTCCGAGTGGAGGTAAACGGCGGGGTCAAACGAGGATAGGAATGATGGCGAGGAGGGAAGCATTCATGCGCTCAGACATCTCATGTCGTTGAATGGTCTCCGATGTAATTCCCTCTGATAGACGCGCGACGCGTGCAGAACGCGCTAGTCCCGTTTTGGCCGCAAAGTCCTTTTACAGTCAAGGCTTATATTGTATCTACAAGTGTACTCATACTCAAACAATGATTTATTTGTGACTAGATTCTTTTCGAGGCTCAGTGTGAAGTTTAAAGCATTGAATTGTTTCACTAAAATCAGAACAAAAATGATGGAAATTTGGCCAACCAATCTTGGTTCCATCCTCTAGTAAATGGTATACTGTACGATCATTTAACAGATAAAAAAGGTACCAACCTACTCGATAGGTCGTGATACATAAGAGAATTCGCGCGACTAACTTAGGCGCTCTTGAGCTTCTCGGTCAGCTCGGGTACCTTGTCAAACAAGTCACCGACGAGGCCAACATCAGCAACCTGGAAGATAGGAGCCTCGGGATCTTTGTTGATAGCAGCAATGACCTTGCTGTCCTTCATACCAGCCAAATGCTGGATAGCACCGGAGATACCGGCACAGAGGTAGAGCTGAGGAGCAACGTTCTTACCAGTCTGGCCAACCTGCAGACTGTTATCGGCGAAGCCACTGTCAACAGCAGCACGCGAAGCACCAACAGCAGCGCCGAGGGAATCCGCCAGCGGAAGCATGAGGCGGTCAAACTCCTCCTTGGACTTCAAGCCACGGCCTCCAGACACAACACGTGTGGCTGTGGCGAGCTCCGGGCGTTCTGACTTGGCCAATTCCTCGGACACCCACTCGGTGAGCGCGGGAACGTTGGGGTCCACTCCGTCGACGACCTCGGCGGAGCCGCCCTCAACTTCGACGTCCTGGAAGGCGGTGCCTCGCACTGTGATCACCTTGATCTTGTCGGTCGACTGGACGGTCAGAATCGCGTTACCGGCGTAGATGGGGCGGACGAAAGCTGGATTATGGTCAGTTGCCGGATCACATGTCAAACTTCTTTCTCTTGTCACATACTGTCCTCGCTCTCGATACCGGTGATGTCCGAGATTTGCTGCACATCCAAGAGAGCAGCCACGCGGGGCAACACGCTCTTTCCAAAGGCAGAGTGGCCTGCAACGACGTGGGTGAATTCGCCCTTCTTGATGTTCTCGACAAGAAGAGAGGCATAGTTTTCGGCGAGGCCCTATGATGTAAGAAATCCAATTGTTAGCCAAAGCTCCTTCTGCCGAAATTGATTCTGGAGGGTGCTAGGGCATATACCTTCTCGTATGCGTCGTTGTCCACGGCTAGCACCTTCTCAACACCCTTGATCTTAGCAGCCTCGGCAGCGGAGGTGGCCTTCACGCCGGAGCCAGCAACGAAGCCCGTTACTGAGCCACCGAGCTTCAGTGCAGCCGCGACTGCGGAAAAAGACGAAGATTCCAGCTTTCCATTGCGCTGCTCGAGGACGGCGAGGGTCGAGAGGAGGCGGGCAAGCGCCGAAGAAGTGGGCAGGCTAAGCTTCCGGGTGGGTTGGAGCTGAGCGCGGGCAGCCCGCAGGACAGAGTGCCTAGCGATTGGAATCATAATGACAACTTGGTAGAATGATTTTGCGTTGATCTTCCAGACATAAGAAGAAGAGCAAGATTAAAGCTCGGTGATTCGCGGTAAATGTTAATTTGGGTGGCTATCGTCGGCGTGCCAAGACTGGCTCCCCGAGGTCGGACTCGGTTAATGCGGCGGCGGCCATATAGCCCGATCGTTCTTCGAAATGACGCATGCGACGGCGATAAAAAAAGGCTAGATCTATTCCTCTGTTATGTTTTATGTTGATGCTTTAGTATTTCTATCGTTAGATTGATTTCAATTAACGGTATAAGATAAATTGTTGGAACAATAAATACGTGATATTTTGTACGCCAGAAATACCTTTACATGCAGAGAACATTAAGAGCTATAACCATCATGAAGTCGACTTCTTCTTCTTCTTGCCGCCAACCTTCGTTGCGACGGGCTTGCTTATGTCACCGTCCTCGAGCGCCTGAGCTTTGAGCTGCTGGAGTTTCTCTTTCCGCGCGGCCACGGATGCAGCCTCCTCCTCATCCTCTGCGGGCTTGGTCTTCTTGGTCTTCTTCTCCTCGAGCAGCTTGCCATCTCCAGCGGACTTGCGCTTCTTGGAGTCCTTGATAGCTTCAGTCTCAGGCGCAGCTTCCAGCACGTTGGCATCCTCCACCCACAACTCATCAGCGAGCCAAATAGGCAGGGCCATAGTGTTGGCACCCTTGATGTGAAGAGCCTTGATGTTTCTCCAGCCCTTTGCGACAAACTTATCGGTTAGACCGTTGACAACAGCGGCAATATTCTCAGATAGTTGCTCGGCTGTGAACTTGGACGAACCAACCCGGACGGCGGCGGTAGTGGATGGTGCGAGCTGCACGGCGGCGCAGCTCAGGGTGCGCTCGATCTCCTTGGCGACAATAAGAGGAGAGGCGAAAGAGGCGTTCTTCTCTTCCTTGGAGGAGTTCTTCTTAGTGTCCTTCTTGACCCGCTTGCCATCCGCCTTCTCGATCTCAGCGATACGAATGGGAATTGGGCGCTTGCTAGACTTGTAGAAGATCTTTCCGAGGGTCTGCACCAGGCGCATGGCGATACGGTCATCAGCCAGGAAGACATCGTGCTCGGCGAACAATTGGCGACGGCTCTCAAAGCTCTGATAGCGGGCCTTCAATTTAGAGAAACCAATAACCTTCTCGATGCGGGAGGAAAGGCCCTGGGGGAAGGACGGGTCGGCAATGATATCTTTAACGCCACGCTGGGGGTCGGCAGTGATCAAACAGATACTGAGCGAGGGGGATGTGTTGAGAGAGTGAGGGATGCTGATTTTTCCGGGCTTCAGTCGGTTCTTATCCACTACATGCTGCTTGGTGGTGAGAACGAGCCAGATGGCTTCGTTCTTGGTCGCACTGTCCTCGCCATCGGAGTCATCGTCGCCAATCAGGGTCTTCTTGGTGTTGGTCTTCTCCTGTTCCTGTTGAGAAGACTTGATGTGCTTCAACAGCGCGGTGGAAGCTTTGAGGACCTAATTGAAATAAGATAAGTACTTTGCGAAATTGACTCTGGGGAGTTATTGGTACTAACCTGGGGCTTGTCAAGTTGGTAAGGGGAGCCAGAGGTCACCTTAGAGGTGAGTTGAGTAGTAGAGGAGCCCATTTTAGCAAGTTGTAGACTCGATGAACATCTCCAATTTTTTCGCAATCATATCGGGACTCAAAAAAATTCGGAAGGCGGTGGCAGTTCATCCGTGCTTGGCAGACCCCAGTTGGCGCCTGAGGCCTTATCGCACCGCTGTTATCGGTTATCTGCATAGCATTCAAATCAAGTCTGACAACCAATTTTTATCTATCACTAGGCTCAGTGGAGGCACGTTGGGCGAAATATGACGCGCAATGAACACTTTTGCTCCTGTCTGTTATCTACCAAGTGCGAATCTAGATTGGCATGTGCATCAGAGACAGGTTAACCTCGCTCGTTAGATATCTCATACCGAAATCGTGATAGTATATTTCGGAGGCTCATAGGACTCGTAAAAGATACTCATGTCTAAGAGGTAAAGAGAAAAGTGACATAGAGTAGGATGACCATGGCCACCGTCGAGATATTCTATGCCCAAAGCCCGCCGATGCACTATTCGCCGACTCGAGCTTAACAAAGGTATGACATAGTAGTTTGCAACATCTAATTACCACACCTACCTAAGTAATCTGAGGACTTACGCGTGATTTTCGGTTCTGACTTTACTATAGTGACATCAGTACTCCGTGCGGAGAGCATATTGAATCATCTATGGCAGTAAAAGCGAGGTGAAATCAAATGACGCGACATGTATATGATATAGGTAGCTCTCCAGCCACAGCTCATGTGTATACAGAGGTCATGAGATTCTACGGAGTGGTTATCTTGTGCATTGTTTCTCTGGGTATGAATGATTGGCTTAGTTCCCTTCTGGTAGTAGGTTTTGATGTATGCAAGGGTACGAAGCGGCTGATGGACGTGTTTCAAGTAACCAGATGTGCAGCTGGAATAAACTCGAAGATTATCCCAGGTTTAGGCTTCTCCGAATTATCTAAAAATACTATACACCATGGAACAATCCCTCGCTTCTCCAGATACTAAAGGGATCTCACGAGAATCGATCGCCAAGTCCATCGTGGCTTGGATAACTATTTATAGACAACTGTGTTGGATCTCTGTGTAGATCAAACCGTTGTTTTAATATATGTTGATAGGTATCTTGACCCTTTTTGTAGCATCCAAACAAGCCAGATATTTTGAATGTACAGCGATGGGGAGGTGACTGAGTATGGGAAATTGCGTGCCGCACGTCGCAAGACACAGAAGTAAGCGTAGCGAAACTCCACATCCACAATATAACTATCATATATCGTAAGACCAAGCGTCGGGGGTGACCGTGGGATGCCAGATTATTACCGAGGTTCATACTCCGTACTTGTATGCTATATTATATGCTGTAACTACAACAGATATTGACAACCCACACAACTAGGACTGAATGTTGGGTATGTACTAGTGAGAGTCCATCCATTGCAGGTCCACATTAGTACTCCGTAAGCCGCAATAATGGAATTGGAAATGGAGTCTATACTAATTACAAAAATTAAATTAATTCCGATACGAACGGTGGTCCCCGAGAAGCCCCGTTTTTAATATATAAAATTGCTTGAGTGTTAGCACAACGGCATGATATTCGTCCAAATAACTATAATATTCTCCATACATCGTACATAACCAAGAGAGCTGCGTAAGCATCTTCGCATACCTAGGTAATAACAACGTATGATACCTGAATATGTTTTAAAGCACAAACAAAGAAAGAGGGGTTGGGTCGACGGATGTTACAATTTTTGGAGCAGGCACCAGCTGAAAATAAAGATGAAAGAATCGGAATGATCGGAGGACGGTGGAGCTCAATATTTGGACCCGAAAAGGCAGGTGTGATGGTGTTGGCTCTGGTTGCTTAGTTGGATACGTGTAGCAACTGTGGTTCGAGACAAAAGGCATATCTTAATCAGATGCTCACCCGCCTCAGCCGAACTTATTGTATAGAGAACAAGCTGTCGGTTTTCCGCGCAGTTATTGAGACAATACATTTTAGTGTAATTTCTTTAGTGTAATTTCGATGTAATTCTAGAGGTCTGCTAGAGCGTGCTATGACGCGGACCAGGCCGTGCCGTCCAAACAGTAGAATAAAGATTGCGGCGGATTGACAAGTCGGTCGGCTTCTACTCCGTAACTCGCCTATCATTGTTCCACTGGCTGGTCGATTATCGAAAAAGTGGATGGGCGGAGCAACTCTCGGCTGCTAGAGGAGTATGGAGAAGTGCGTGAATTTAGGCAGTTCATGCGCGGAGTCGTCATCACTGCGGGCTGTGATTATAGCTGAAAGTCTACTCATGAAGTACAGCGGACCAACGATATGAGTAATCCGTTTTCCAGACCTCCTGACTCTCTAGGTATTTATATAGTAATTGGGTCGTGGGCTGATATTTGAATCTTATTTGCGACGCATTGAGCAGGTCAGATCTGGTATGTTATTGTACTTGGTATTATTGGTACTAGGCTAGAATGTGTGTCCAGTTAAAGTGGAATAATACAACCGGCAAACGCTAGCATCGTCAGGGGAAATCCCCTTGCTGGCTACGCACACCGCACTGTAAGTCTTGGAAAAGCTGGGCGGAAGTAGATCGGTCAGGTTGTCCAGCTGCCAGGGGGTGAAAGTCTTATTCAAGCGTCTCCCTACAATAATTACCTAGGATGCAACGGCAAAGAGTTGTAACATTATAAGGGGGAAGTAACTTCAATAGCGTGTTGGAATGATGTTGTATTCAAGAATTGAACAAAGCAGACGTAATAATAAGTAAAATGAAGAATATCATCAAATGCTTCTGGTACCCATGGATACGCAAGGAATCTCGGCAGGCCAGCTGAATACTGATTGGTGTACCTGAATTATGGGGCCCAGAAAAGTGCAATACGTGCCTCTGATTGGCTGCCCCTGGCAGTTTAATCTCGCTTTGGCGCCAAGCCGCAGGGACCAAAGGTAAACAAAAAGAGGAACTGCCTCGCCCATGGATCATGCCGTTATAGAACTCCCCAGATGAAGAAAGAGAGACTGACTCGGTAGAAGTGCGCCGAACATAGAATGAACCCCTAGAAAGATTAAATTGTATCTGCCAAGCGAGCAAGTAGCATCCAGACTCTGTCCAGGGTCCACTACCAAGGTAGGCAGTGTGAGACAGTTGTATATTGAAGCTGTATCCCGTACCTGCCCCTTTTCCCGTGACTATCACGCTAACGCTATTTGGACATAAACCGAATCGCCCCCCCTCCTTTTTGTCTCTCCCTGACTTCTTCTTCCCCAGTCTTTCCAACCACAGCTCTCCTTTCTTGAAGTTTTCTCACACCCGAGGGATTCGTTCTCTCCACATTCATTTGAAAACCGCTGTTCTTTCTTCGACTCCGACAAACGCGCGACTACCTTTGAAGTGATGTATGTGCTATTTCCCGTTTATCTCTATATGTTGCAATAGCTTTCGCAATGTGGTGTGATGTGGATTGTTGTTGTTGTCGTTCTTGAGTGTCGGTTGGGAACTATACAGACGATTCGCAACACAACAAACGCGATATATGGCTGCAGGGACGGAATCAAGGGGAATCATTGGACGAGAAGAACCTCACATGGATTTTGACTGAACTAACACATGATGTTCAACAGTTTCGCACTACCACAACAATGAAGTTCCAGAACACCGTTGCTGTGCTAGCGACGGCTGGCCTCGCGGCCGCTCACGGCCATGGCCACGGTCACGTCCACAAGCGCGCTGCTGAGACCGAGGCCGCTTCGGCCGGCCCAGTCGTGTATGACTTTGTTGTAATGGACCCGTCCAGTTCGAGCGACCCTCAATCGATCAGTATCGAGGAAGCCTGCGCTGGTCTCGCAAACCATGAGTTTGAGTGGCTGGACTCTGCCGTTGCTGCTGCTTGCCCATCTAGCAGCTCTGCCGCACCTACGTCGACTTCCGCGTCGAGCTCCACGTCGAGCTCCACGTCCGCCCCAACAACAACCGCTACTGTTGCCCCTGCCATCCTCCAAGAGACCTCGGCTGTTATCATCCTCGCCAGCTCGACAAGCTCAGCCGTGGCAACCTCTAGCTCCACCACAGCCGCTGCTGCTACCAGCAGCTCAAGCAGCTCTTCTAGCTCTGGTGCCACCGGCCTCACCGCCGACTTCCCTGATGGAGAGATTGACTGTGGTGACTTCCCTTCGGATTACGGTGCTATCGCCCTTGACTACCTTGGTCTTGGTGGTTACTCCGGTATCCAGTATGTCACTTTCCTTGACGAGGTTATTAGCGACATTGTGACTGCCGTTACTGGTGACGAATGCCACCACGGTGCCATGTGCTCGTACGCTTGCCCACCTGGATACCAAAAGTCCCAGTGGCCTAGCGTCCAGGGTAGCACCGGCCAGTCCGTTGGTGGTCTCCAATGTAAGAGTGACAACAAGCTCTACCTCACCAACGAGAACTACAAGCAACTTTGCATCCCTGGTGTTGGCGGTGTCCATGTCAAGAACCAGATGTCCGACAACGTTGCCGTTTGCCGTACTGACTACCCCGGTACCGAGTCTGAGACCGTTCCTCTCTCCGCCGTTCCCGGTGTTGTTCACGACCTGACTTGCCCCGACGGTGAGGACTACTTCCTCTGGGAGGGCAAGGTCACCTCCGCCCAGTACTATGTCAACCCCAAGGGTGTGTCTACTGAGAAGGGTTGCCAGTGGGGTGACGGCACTGAGTCCATCGGTAACTGGGCTCCCATTAACCTGGGTGTCGGTTACACCTCCTCCGGAAAGTTCCTGTCCATCTTCCCCAACACCCCCACCACCACCAAGGCTCTCGACTTCAACGTTAAGCTTGAGGGTGACGACCTCAGTGATGAGTGCCGTTACGAGGATGGCAAGTTCTATGACTCCAACGGTCTGATCAGCGGCAACAGCGGCTGCACAGTAAGTTTTCTGAAACCCCCCAGTGTACAAATTTCAATACTAACGATATCTCCCAGGTCGGTGTCACCTCCGGCAAGGCCTATTACGTCTTCTACGACTAAATGTCGCAACCGCTTTTTGGTCGGCGGCAGTCCTTACCCCGCCAAGCGAAATTCGATGAGCTTCCCATGCACTAGGGCGAGCAGAGCTACCGCTCCCATCTCACTTCCCTATGTGTATCTGTCTATATTCACGGCTTCTTATTCGAAGGATCATTATTTTTTTCTGTGTATCTTAAGTTTTATTTTGTTTTACGTGTGACTGGGCCCGAAATCCAATGCTCGTTGCACCTTTTTTGTTTATTTCTTATGACCACATTTACCCCCCAGGTCAGGCACATTGATGGGAGCGATATCCTTTTTATTTGACGGTTAGATTTCCTTCTTTATTTTCAAGTACCAATCAGTTCTTGATTTCAAATCTATCCCTCGTTCCCTTTCCTTTCACCTTTGTCCTGGTGACTAGAGGTTGGATCTTCCTTCCCGAATCCCGATGTTTTCTTTTGACTCTTGGTGACTTGATTTATCCTGTGCCTTGCTTGAAATGAAAGGTTCGAGTGTATGGGTTGATTCAACGGGAAAAATCATGGCACACAGCTGGTTCTGTAACGGTCGGTCATCGGCTGGCCGCTCTTGAGTGATCTAGTCCAGCAGATGTGCACTGCCTGTCTTGAGTCAGATATCTTCCTCTACCTAACTATCCTTCGAATGATATTCCACACCTTTATTTCCTCTCCCATGATAAATTAGGCGCCAGAGCTAGCTACATATTCCAGCGACAGTCAATGTAGGACTCCTCTCTTAAGATACACGTTGCATAACCTGCCAGTGAACCATGTGTGACAAGTATGAACTTAAGTATTTTTATATTTGAGCACCTCCCCACAATGTGAGGGACAAGCTAATTATTAATGTGGCGGCAAGCGCTTAGTTAGAGTATGTGACATGTCGCATACATGATGAAACGCCAAATCTGCGACCCCACCTAGAGCTTTCATTCGAGTTTCAAACACTTTCAAACAAAACCAAAAGCTTTATAGGAAGTATACACCCACCTAGTTAGCTAGTGTGTGCTTGACGATGGGCGATGCGGCGCGCCCGACTGACGATGCATTTAGCCGATTCTCTAGGTCCGTCCCAACCAAGGCATGGTCTTCCTATTTACTTCCCCGGCAAGTCATATTCCCAAGATCTCTCGTCAGATAGACGCCACCCTTGCTCGATAATGGATGAGCAGATCTTCTTGTCAACGGCCGGTTAACATAGATAACCCCCAGAGGTATTTCCGAAGGTATTTCTGAGCTATAGCGTAAGGTGCTACCCAAGCAACTCGAATTAGTAGTCGGCGGTCGATTGAGTATGATATTGTCATAATACTCTTTTATCAGAGTGGACTGGGGTCAGGGACTCCGGGTTTACGACAAAGAGGGATTATTTATCGATTCTTTACTGTACATGGGCCTATGCTACCAGTACGATGGGTGGAGTTACTTGGTGTCTCTGTCGACCTCTGACATCATATGGGTTATATTGTAGAGGACGCGCAGTCCGACAGCCAACCTTCGGTTCTAGTTGACGTCGGCAACGATGCTTGCGAAAAGGAGGTTTTGTGCTGGAATGAAGCTGGGGTGATTTATATCCCATTGATATGAAGCAGAAGAAAACTCTGCCTCCCGCTACAACCATCACAGCTAGAGCTCCTATGGGAGCTACAGCAAGGTTATCTTCTAAATATTTGAGATCGATGCAGTATTCTTTCAGTGAAAGACCCATATACTAGATTTTATGGTTTGACTTTGGAAACCTTGAAGGATAGGAGCCTGAAGAGACCTAGTTGGACGGGAGCGACACTGCGGTTCCAAAGAAACGCCATATGAAAGCTAACTTGAGGCTATCGAGTGCCGGTTTTGTGATCACTAGAAAGGTAAAATGACAAAATTGGAATAAAAGGGCGATATATATATATATCTATACAGGACCTAAGCGAAGAATACCATTGCTGCAGCTCGGGGAGGTAAGCGGGCCAAAAGTTCAATCCAACAAGTAAAATTACACTATAGAGCTTGAGTGTAACAAAGAAGCTCAATTATGTCGGTCTTTATGTAATACCTCTCGTTGTGGATTTCCACTGTACCGTTTTATATAACCGTCCGTCAGACAGCCCACATGCGTTAGACCCATATGTATTAGGCAAGGGGATCGATTTCGCGAGAGGCAGAACTCCACAGCTGACATGTAGTCATTGAGATACACAAATCATCCAAGAAAATCTTTCCTAATGCTGGGTTTCGTACAAGACCGGTCAAGTGAACTATACCAGAAAATATACCAAAAAATCAAACTACCCGAGGCCCCACCAGCACTTGTCAACAAAAAACTCAGTGCAAAAACTAGGGCGTTAGGTTTTTTTGTCCATAATTGGTCAGGCTGGACGTTAGCTCATATGCCCTTGGAAGGAAAATCGGTTGGTTTGACCAAAGCTCGAGCCAAAATGATACCGAGGTGGTCGGGCAATGGCTGGGAGACGCGACGAGGTAACCAGTGAACAATTCCGTGAAGTAAATGGGGGGTTAGGGGGAATTAGGGGGCTTGCATTTTCTGCTGGGAATTGTATGAATTCTCCTCCGTACGGAGTATACCCTAGTACTTGGTATTAGCTATGTACGAGTCTAGAGAAACTGCCTAAATTTCACCATTGACTCCTGATACTTGAATAGGCGTACTATGTAAGAGGGAATATATGTTGTACTCGCTTTTTCGAAATCGTCCGAGGGGCTACAGGGTAAATCAGAACAATTTTGAGGTCATGAATACCATTCCTGACACAATAAACCTGGTTTACTGTCTCGCGTGGGGTCACGTGTTTTGAGACGCGGACGCGTTGCAGTGTATAGAGTTGACAGCACAAGTTAAGAGGAAACAAACGTTTAATTCGCGCCTTTTCACGTTTTCGGCACTCCATTTACGAGTTATTAACTGTACAATACATAAAGACAGCAATTGAAATCGCGAACCTGCAGTGGAGCGTGGTTGGCGCCTATCGAACGCGTCTCGGACTGTAAGCGTGCATTTCCGCGCAGGGTGGACGAGACCCTCCGCCCCAGGGCATTCCACCACCACACACCTTTCGACCTTTTTCTTCAATGCTTCTCCTCCTTACTCCTTGATTACTTTCTTTACTCCCACCACACCTGTTTCTCTAGGGGAGGCCTTGCTGTCTTTCTTTCCTTTAAAATTCCCCAGGTTCCTCTCTGTGTTTGTATAACACGGAGACGCGGGTCCTCGACTTCGACTCAGGTTTTTTTTAATTTTCGTGAGTAGGAGTGCTCGTTCGACTTCGTCCCACCTTTCTACTATGGAGTCCTCTCCATTGAAGAGTCGAGTTGGCTCGATCTTGGGCGTGAAACGTCCTGCAGCCCTGCTGCCTGCCTTTGAGCCGAGCTCGTCGCCCTCCCTTCCTAGGCCTCAAAAGCGTGTAGCACGCGAACCAGATGTCTCGACGTATCCCACTCCGGTCCCGACCTCGTCGACCCATATCATGTCCTCCTCGCCCCCTCCTGGCGTCGCTGCCTCCCGACCTTCTCTGTCACGGTCCTTCTCCGCTGCCCTGGAACGCGCGCCTTTGTCTGCGGTGCCTGCGATAATGTTGTTGGAGAATGGGGAGCCTATTCTGATGGGAAGGTCCAGTGTCTCATGCCATCACCAACTCGCTGCTAGTCGTATGATCTCTCGTGTTCATGTCAAGGCTACATATAAGCCGGCTCCGAATCCATTCGATCGGGATAGGGTTGAAATCGTGTGCATGGGATGGAATGGGATAAAGATTCACTGCCAAGGGAGGAAATATGACTTGGCCAAAGGCAAGACCTTCACCTCGGACATTAAAGATGCAGATATCATGATAGATGTCCACGAGGCTCGTGTTCTGGTGCAATGGCCTCGCAGCGAACGAAGGGATTGCCCGTCCACCGACTCGGAACAAACCAGTGATGAAGCAACACCAACTCAGCGGCGTCAATCCCGACGAGAGCCGCAGGAAAGTCCGCTCTTGGATCGCCAGCGTCTGGCATCGCCTGTCTCCCCTTCGCCTGCTGTCCAGCATGCCATCCCCCCATCCTCGCCAATCTTCACACCTTCTCGTTCCCGGGCTGCAGTAGTGGTGTATGAGGACGAGCCCTCTCCATTGAAGCGTCACAACACCGTCACTGGAGTGACATCCCAGAGTGCCCGTCGTGCTACCGCTATGCTTCATACCTCGCGGGCGAGCGAGTTGAGTGAACTGAGTAGATCCGAAGAGTTCTCCGACAATGACGAAGAGAATGATCCTATCATTCACTCCTTTGGACCATTCGGAGAGAACCTTCTTCCTCGTATGGCTTCTTTCAGGGCGGGTGATTCCCCCGTTCAGACCACTCGTTCTCCTCGCAACCTGCTTCCTGCCCAACCTCTCCAACCTACCCGGTCCCCTAGACAGCCAGCTACGGTCCAAGAGGACAAGGAATTAGAGACGACCGAGGCTAAACCCCAGTATACCGACGAGCGGTCCGAGCGAGTCCGCAACCACGCTGCCAATCAACTTGCCTTCTCCCGGCTGTCCTCCACGCCCTTCTCCACTATTGTGAACAATCTCCCTCCCGCGTACTGGAAGTCCGGACACGAGTACCCCACCGGCCTGTCCCGGTCTGATATCCGCAATATTCTCGAATCGACCAAGTTTATTGGCAGAGTTGCCCGTGAAGGCAAGGATGCCGCCGGCAAGCCACTTGAGAGTGAATATTACTACGTTCCCGATGAGGATGATGATACGATGCGACGATCTGCTGTGGTGGATGATCTTCGGAAACCAGGCCTGCGCAACTGCCGGAAGCAGCACAAGGTGAGTACCTCCATATCTATACATCTATTGATGTACCCGAACCCCCGCTGACTTGTGTCCAGCAATACTTCTGGCGCAAGCCCAAATGAATCATTGAACGAAAAAGTTCCTATGTCTTTCCACCGTCGGATGGATGTTCTCAGTACATATTTCCAGTGATTCTTGGTCTCCCTGGCTGCTGGGGGGACTCGCATAGCGTGGCGTGAGGCATACCCTGATTTTAATTCATTATTATCAACATCCTTGTTTGTTTTTCTTGTGTGCCCTTTTTTCCCTGTTTTTTGGACTTATCTCCTTGTTATACCATCAACCTGTACGATACTCTGGTCTCCCAAAGCGCGTCTATATCGTTTTGGGCCTTGGATATCCCGAAGTTGGTTTCTCAACGCGTCATGTTACCTTTGGCCATCATTGGCCTTTTTTTTTTGCCTTGATATCAGTTGTTCTGATACCGGCTCTCATGTGTCACAGATGTCTGTTTGGAGAGATGCTTCACCAGCTTGACCCTGCCAGAAGGAACTGTTCAAGTCACGTGCTCTTCGACTATATGTATCCTACCTTTGCTTTTGCCTCGTTGGTTTTGCTATTTTGTCAGTTTGCTTTCCAATGGTTGAACGTACTTACGACTGTATGTTAGCTCGTCAATTCCAATATATCTGTTCGAACAATTACCTTGATACTGTAGATAGTTGTTATGTCTTGGCAGCTAGAATGAAATCATTATAATCAATCACAGCAATCATAGTAGGCTCAGAGTCTCAATAAAGCATTCGGCTCGCCTAGATCCATGGCAATACGGCGAATACAGGCTCATGTACGAGTACGTATACTATAACTGCCAAGACTTCCAATTCTTGGTATATGGCCATTGTGCGAGAGTGAATTGGTATTCCTTTGTACAACTGCCATGTCAGTTCCACTCCCACCCGATATCGTCGCCACCCGCACGTCACCACTTTCGCCTATATCAAATACCTGCTTCTTGTGACAGGTCCTTGATCCCCATGGACGTATGGATCACCACTGCCGAATACCGTATGATCCGACCACACGACAATTAGACTTTAAATACCCCGCACCGAAGAGATATAAAAGGACAAGCAGATAAGCTGGGAATATATCGAAGACGAATACTATTTTCACCACCACACACTATTTTCCTCTATTCCACAAGCTAGCTTCAAACCAGCCACTGGCAACCATATACGTCCAATTCTACATCTTACTCTTATCCACACTCGAAATGGCATCAAACAATCACAATGATCACAATGATAACCACGGCAAAGTCCCAGCCAGCAAAGAACAAATCATCATTCTCCCTTTCGCTCAGAGCCATAGTCCTTCAAACACTACCGGGTCACCGGGTCCCACCACAGAGGACTTATGTGAGAAGTGCTGGAAGCCGGCTTTAGCTCGCCAACATAGCTGGAGCAACGAGGACCGCAAACACCAGCTGCAGAAACGATTGCAAGGGCCGCAAAAGGGAAGAGAGACCGGGTTCACAGAGGCGCATAGTGGGGATCAAAATAGCCCGAAACAGCATTTAGTGCTGTGATGATCGTCCTTTTGATGCATTATAACTCATGGTGGGACCTGGCGAAGTGGGGGGTTTGGGATTGAAATGATAGACTTGTAAATTGCGAATCACAAAAGGCGTTGAAGGCGAAATTGAAATTGAACTCGGCCTTGAACTTGAAATTTGAATTGAAAGGACACACACGAGAAAAGGGTTAAGAGATATAATAAGATGAAGTACAAGAAGTTATCGCACAAGTGTCAGGTGGATAAGCAAATAAAAGTCCGCCTTCACCTCCGCTCTCCGCCTTAGACCTTTGGACTTTTAGACCTTCGACCGGCTTCGCTTCACTTCAAAGCTTTGAGCTTGGTGCTGTTCTCTTATTATCTTCTTTTCCCCCAATGTGGCATTCAAGTCACTTATGCGCTTTCCTCTCGGACATTCAGAAAGTACCCCACGATTGAGCTTGTAGCCATGGATCGCCAACGTAAAAGTACGGGCTACCACACCTCACCTTGGAGATATTGACTGACATGTCGCGTTTTTATTGCAGGGGAGCTTCGCGACCTGAACGAGCGAGCCTGGGCAGGCGAATCTGGTAAAATCCCATCTGACTCCCTTTATGACGAAATGCCATTGCAGCCCACCTTCGAGATGATGCTAACCACTTGCAACTAGATGTATTCCCCACTAGCAAGTCCCTTGACTCCGCGCTCAAGAAGAACACCGCATTCATCAAACGTCTACGCACCGGCATCAGTGCCTCCGCCCTTTCTACTTTCCTCGCCGACATCCGTTCCCTCTCGCTCCACAAATACCTTTCCGAGATCATTTCCGCCTGCTACGAAGGCCTCTGCAAACTCAAATCCCCCGGCGAAATTGCCGCGGGAGTGGAGGTTGTGAGCGCGCTTCACCAGCGTTTCGGGCCCTGGGAATTCACACGACAGATCGGCTGGCTGCTCGGCCGCGGACTGAGCACACCGGATAAAGCACAGCTCAAGGCGCTCAGCCAGGAGATTCGTGAACGCGAAGAGAAAGACCGCCTGTCTCGACATCGCGTTCTTCTCCGCGTGGTGACAGAGCTTTGGCTGGTCAATGTGCTGAAGACCCTCGATGACGTCGAGCGACCTGAGGAACTGGGTGCGAAGGGCAAGGAGGGAGCAGTTGGGATTGGGAACAAACCGTCCGATACGCCGCTGAAAGCCAAGACCCCCGCCGTGGGCGCGAAGGACCAGGACAAACAGGCCGACCCGTTCCCATTGGAGGTTCTGAAGGAATTGCTCGGTCATGACCGTGATCATACAAACCTGCCCCTTGCAGTCTTGTTTGTGAAGAGCTTTAGCTGGGATATCGTCGGCTCGAAGCTTGCCGAAGATGGCCGGAAAACCGTTGAGGCGGATGGCGCTACTACGACCTCTGGCGCAGAGGCGCAGACTACGGAGACCAATGGGTCCTCCGAGACCGATTTGCCCCTGACTCCAGAGAAAGTTCAGCAGCGGTTCAGAAACATCTTGAACCGGTACCTTGAGGATGTCAAGGCTCACGTGGTTCGAGACCAGAGAGCGCTGGCACAGCAAAACCGCCGTAATGCCGAAGCATACGTGAAGAGTGGTGAGATCTTCGAGGACCGCCAGGCCAATTTCGAGAAGCAGTCCAAGGTCCTGGAAAAACTCGTGGCCAATACGCAGGTGCTCTGTGAGGCTTTGGGAACCGACATGCCCGATCTAGCCGAGAAGGAACCCACCGATGCTTCTGCCAGTGGTGGTATTGGCCTTGTGAAGACTACTGATTACCTACGAGGCCAAGGCGAAGGCGCTGGGATTTGGGAAGACGAGGAGGAAAGACGTTTCTATGAGAATCTGGTCGATCTGAAGGGCAAGGTACCTGCGGTTTTACTCGAGGATGGCAAAAAGAAGAAGACTGAAGGCGAGGAGTCAGGTAAAAAGAAGCCAGATGGCGAAACCGCTGACCCTGGAGAGCCTTCGGACGAGAAGGCAGCTGCGGAGGCTGATGACCAGTCAACTGCCATTGCCAGCAAGACTGTGGGTGCGCAGGTGGACTCCCTTCTTGCCAAGCTTCCCGAGTTGCAAACCAAAGATCAAGTCGATCAGTTTGCCCTGGATTTCTGCTGGGTGAACTCCAAAGCATCACGAAACAGGCTTATCAAAGCTGTGTCGGACATCCCCAAGGGTCGCATTGATCTTTTGCCTCTGTATTCTCGCCTGGTAGCCACGCTTGGACAATACTTGCCAGATATTCCACAGGGACTGACCACGTACCTCGATGAAGAATTCCGAAGTCTGCAGCGGCGAAAGTCCAAGGAATTCCTCGGTCAAGTACGCATGAGCAATGTTCGCTACCTAGCTGAACTGACCAAGTTCGGTGTCGTTCCGGAGCATATTATCTTCCATTGTTTCAAGGTCTCGCTTGACGAATTTTCGCGCATGAACATTGAAATTATCGGCCATTTGCTGGAGAATTGCGGCCGTTATCTCCTGCGCAATCCCGAATCATCACCCCGGATGGCTTCTTTCCTCGAGACCTTGAGTCGCAAGAAGACCGTGCAACATCTGGCCCAGCAGGAGCGGATGGTTATCGAAAATGCCATCTACTATGTTGACCCCCCACCACGCCCAGCGATCCAGCAGAAGGAACGTACCCCCATGGAGCAGTACATCCGCCGGCTAATCTACCTGGATATGAACAAGCGGAATTACACCAAGATCTTGAAATCCATCCGCAAACTTCACTGGGAGGAGCAAGAGGTCGTTGAGATTCTGGAACGTGTGTTCAGCAAACCGGTGAAAGTGAAATATGGCAGCATTCACCTTCTGGCAATTCTTGTCAGTGCTTTGTACCGGTACCACCAGGATTTCGTGATCGGCATCGTCGACAATGTCCTGGAGCAGGTCACGCTTGGCCTCGAGCAGAATGACTTCAAATTTAACCAGAAGCGCATTGCAGAAATCAAATATCTAGGTGAGCTCTACAACTACAAGATGATTGATTCCCCGGTGATCTTCGATACGTTGTACCGCATTATCACCTTTGGCCATGAAGGTGGGACCCCGGCCCGTGGAAAGATCAGTATGCTGGACTTGCCAGACGACTACTTCCGCTTGCGCCTGGCATGCACCCTTCTTGACACGTGTGGCCACTGCTTCGACCGTGGCTCTGCCAAGAAGAAATTGGATTTCTTCCTTGCCTTCTTGCAATACTACTTATTTACTAAGGATCCGTTGCCCATGGATGTCGACTTCCTTGTCCAGGATACATACCACTCTATTCGCCCGCAGTGGAAGCTTGCTACCGAGGGTGAAGAAGCGACCCGGATTTTCAGCGAAGCTGTTGCCTTGAACTACAACGTACAGGATTCCGAGAGACCCGTCGAAGCCGACGAAGAAGATGCAGAGAGCAGCTCTTCTGACGAGGATCTTGAGGAGGATGCTATTCCCGAAATAGACGAGGACCAGGAATCCAGCGATGAGGCCGAAGTAGGTTCCCCATCTCATCTGCATGAAGTACGACCCATTAACCCGTTTAACCCGTTGAAGGCGTCTGGACCCAACCCGGAGGCCAATGACGACAGCGATAGCGAGTCCGAGGACGAACAAATCGTTGTCACCAGACAGGAAGAGGAGCGCGACCCAGTGACCGAGGCTGAATTTGATCGAGAATTCGAAAAAATGATGGCCGAAAGCATGGACTCGAGACGGTTTGAACGCAAGACTGTCTTTGATATCCCTCTTCCCATGAAACGCCCTCGGGAAAACATGCCCAGCGAGTCTAGCCCTGAGCCAGTCCCGGCAGAACCAGTTGCGCCTAAGACAATGGCCTTTTCCCTGATGACAAAGAAGGGAAACAAGCAACAGGTAGTATTTTCCATCCGCGTTCGCAATATTATGCCGATTGCTAATCATATCTAGACCCGCACCATCGATCTCCCGTCGGACTCGACCTTTGCTATTGCCATGCGGAGCCAGCAACAAGCCGATCGGGAAGAACAGCAGCGCATCAAGAACCTGGTCCTGAACTACGAGGCGTCGACCGAACCCGAACCCACCGAGAGTGAGCAGTATCCCCTGGTTAACCCGAATAAGCCCCAACTGAGACATCCCAAAGCAGCAACCCAAGAAAAGCGCACCCCCGCCAGCCAGCGGATGGACAAGGCCGGCGCGAACCGGTCCGCCTTCCGTTCCCGCAAGCTCCAGCTCAGCGACGTCAACTGGTAATGAATGCTGCCACTATCTGGACTGAGGTCCATATTCCGTATCTTCACTTGACACAACAGCCAGCGCCTTTCCCCCATGGAAGGCTGCCGTCCAACCATGGAACAGTTCTTTCGTCTCTGCACTACCCAGTGTGAAAAGCTCTTGGTTCAACCCAATGAGCTTATCTATGGTTGACGTCGCACACAACGCGAGTATGCAATGCCGTATGAGTATGACTAGGAATCCGTTCTTGCTAATGGAATCTACCCCGTCGTGAATGCCATCGAAATGGATGCACTCGTCTTGCTACTCGTGATCCTTTTTTATCGCTTTCCCATCCTGATTGGGGTTCCTGGACTGGGTCGAGGCTCGATGTTACCCGCATACAGAAACCCGAATCCCGATATGGTCGCCAATCATCAATTACCTGGCGAAAGACATCACCACTTTGCTGCCCTCTTGTGAAGATCGTACATTATTCGATCTAGGGATGATGGTGTTCAAATGGCTCCGAGAAGTAGAGAATGAATCAGACTGGATGACACAGATATGAATTTTATGCCGTAGGTGTATCTCTTAGCCATGATCTCTAGTCTATCGTCTAGCAGTAATCAATGTAACTGGATCTCTTTGAACGAAGATAAAAAAACTAAGGGATTGCTTTTATCAAATAAAGGTGTCGAATTGCCCTCTGACCTCTCCTTAATATGGTGGGTTAAATGCATTTGTCTCAAAGCTATGCTGACTTGTTTTTCTAACCTGCACATTATTTCACCAGCATGTTAGCGTATCATGAAAAAACTGCTCGAAAAGCTGAATCTAATGGTACTTGTTTCGCTCCGAAAGATCTGTGTTCTCAAGGTACACCTCGATCTACAGAAAAGAGGCCCATTAGTTTCACAGTGATATATCCCGAAGTAGAAAATGACGTCACTCACTTTGTTGGTCATCTTTGAATCGACATCCTTGCAGCATAGACAAGCAGCAAGACCCAAAACCCCAAACGCCATCGATACCATAGCCACAACACTAGAAGAGACCATTAGAAACCATTATTTCCCACTGTTTCCTCAAGAGTGCGAGTAAGAGATATGATTATGTGTGCTTACAACATCGCTTTGCAGTAGGCCTGGCTAAGAGCCGCCTCTGCTGCTGCCACCACGGCAGGGCTATATGATTTCATTGCGGTGGCACCTTGAGATACCACAGCCAATAGGTCTGTGACCTTCGACTCCGGCAGTCCTGCGGAGATGGCAGCGGAAGGGACATATATAGCCGTATATTTCGCCAAAGTGTTACTGTAGACTGTTTGGTAGATTGAGGTCGCAACTAAGGGCGCGGATTAGCATGATCCAACACGACAGAGCAATAAAGTCAACGTACCAGCTCCAGCAGCAAAGCGAATACACCCCGATATCCCACCACTAACACCGAGATTCTTATGCTCAACACCCATCTGCGTAATCGCAATACTCAAATAAAGAGCCCACCCAAACCCAGCCTGAGAGAGGAAGATGAAAGCAATCATAGTCCCCTTATTAGTCGGCGTAACAATACCAAGCAACGAGCCGAAAACAACCATAACAAACACCGACCCGGTAAGCTGCCAGTGCCAATGCCGCAGTTTACTACCAAAGCAGGTGAGAAGGATAGCACCGAAGAAAATAGCGAATCCCTGCGGCAACGACAGAATGACAGAGTATTTCCAGTCCGCGCCGCCATTCGTGTAGAAGACCGTGATCATCTGCGGCCATAGGATGCTAGACGAGTAGTAGAACATATTGACGACGCCGAGCGCAATGACAGGCGCAGTGAAGTCGCGGCCCCACGAGCTAGCGAAGATATAGGTGGGCGTCAGCGGGTATTTCAGCTTGCCGAAGGATTCCCACAGCGCGAAGCAGATGAGCACTGCCGCGCCGACGACTAGCGGGGCGACGACGTGGACGTCGTTTGAGTCGTACACGCCGGCCCAGACAATGCCCATTAGGAAAGGGACTGCACCGCCGATGAAGAGGAAGGCACCTAGGTAGTCTAGGGATTTGAAGGCTTCTTTGTATGGGATGCCGAGGCTGGGTTGTGTGATTAGTTTGATTGGTTTCACTGGACTTGGGCTTGGGCTTGGGGGCTTACGGGTGCTTGGGCGGGTGGTAGAGGAATAACAGGCCGAGGAATGATAGACCTTGGAAGATGGCCACGCCCCAGAAGTTCCAGGCCCAGGTTCCAAGCTCGTAGCCGTAGCGGGCTGTTACCGGTGCGACAATGACGGCTATGTAGACTGTGAAATCGGCGATCACGACTCCGATGTGTCGCCATTTATTGGGGAGGAGTTCTGGCAGCGCGAATGCAGCCATCTATATGATGAATGATCTTTTAGCTGGTCCACTTGAGGAGAGATGGAAATAATCGGGCTCATACCTGACAGTTTGCACCGCCGAAACCAGATATAACGAGCCCGGCAATGATTTGGTTGGTGTTCTTTGCTGATGCTACCACAATATGACCGACGAAGCATACCTAAAGGAATGTTTAGACGCGCCATGTATTAGGTTGCAGTGATCGAATTACCAGATTGCCCAACACCAAGAACCAACGTCGACCTAAGAGATCGGTATTCGGGCCACTGTGAAATCTAATTAGCTTTGCACCTTGAAGATATAGGTATTTTAGAAACATACAAGATCAAGAAAGCGCAGGTGATCGAGATAGTCCAAGCCTATAATTGGATTAGTACTTTCCATTGGATCCTTTGAATCATCTTTACACACTGGGATAAACCAGATATATCCAGTCGGATCACCCATATCAGCAGAGACCATGCTGCCAATTGCCGCAACAACGGGAATAGGCCAGAAAGAAAGGCCATAACCGCAAGAAAGAATCTATGCGCGATTAGCATGCACACCATAGTAGACTTGTCATATGCATACCGAAGAGACGATCCATGTCTTTAAAGTGACAACTGGCTCAGTTATTTCATTGGAAATCGAAGGTGAGCTTGGTGTCTCCGTTGGAGAACCAGCCTGCACCGAACCCTTTTCTGAGTCCACAGCCATGCTGCAATGCAAGAATGCAATGGGTAGAAAGGGGGGGAAAGGAAATATAAACAATTTTAACAATTAACTTCAACCATACTTTAGTTATATGAAGAGGAGAGGGGCTTCCCAACGGCTTAGGATCCACTACAGTATGAGGAAAAATCCCCGAGCATTGAGTCGTACACTATGATCCGGTAGACTTTCGTTTCCTTTTTCCTCGATAAAAGTTATTCTTTCCTCATTAACTCTCAAACACTATCGCATCTCAGCTCATATGATGGGTTCACATATTGAAACACGGGTTGCTATTGTCGCAGGGGCCACTGTCAGTACGAAACCAACTACACAGGACCCGCTATCAGTCACTGACAAAGATCCATACAGTCTGGAATGGGAATTGATCTCGCCAAGGACCTCTGCACAAAAGGATGGAAGGTTGCTTGTGTAGGTCGGCGCCAGGAGGCCGGTGAAGCCCTCCTAAAAGACCTACCACAAGACAGAGCGCACTTCTTTGCCGCTGATGTCTCCAACTACGAAGAGTACGCGAGTGTTTTCAGCAAAGTGCATCAGCTCTGGGGGCGTATTGATGCTTTATGTGCCAATGCCGGTATTGTCGATACCTCTTCTATCTACATCTACGACGCGAAGACCAACAGCATTGACAACATCCCGCCGGCACCGGACCTGTCCGTCGTGGATATCAACTACAAAGGCGTTGTGTACGGGACCCAGCTGGCAATCCATTTCATGCGCCATAACCCGCAGCCTGGTGGTCGTATTGTTGTCACGGGTAGTATTGGCGCGATCTTTCCCCACGAGTCGTATCCGGTATATTGTGGCTCCAAGGCTGCGGTAAACCACTTTATACGGGGTGTTGCCCCATTGCTGAAGCAAAAGGAGAATATTTTCATCAATTGTGTCATGCCAGGGATTGTGAACACGCCTATTGTGCCACCCGAGATGATTGCCGCTGTCACGCCTGAATGGTAAGAATTTGTGTTGCCGTCGAACATTGCAGAACACTGACATCACTTTGAAATTAGTCTCACCTCTGTGCAGACCATTCTCAAAGGCTACGAAACCTTCCTAGAAGACTCGACCGGCCTGTCAGGTCAGCTGTTAGAGTGTTCAGCCGACAAGCTGATCTACTACCAGATGCCTGAACCCGGAAATGGCCATATCACCAAGCGGGCTGTCACGGTCTGGGAGCCACTGTTTCGTATTATGCACGGGGAAGACTCTGGGCTTCCGGATGCTATTCCGTGAGCATATCGGAAGAGTTAGCTGTAGGAAATAATACAGTGCATTTCATCTATTCTAGCCCGACCCACGGAGTACTACTGCCCTAACGGGCCAAGCGTCATAAAAAAGTACAGATAGGCTCCACCACTAGCACGGTCTGCGACGATCTTCGCCCTCAAGCTCAAAGCCCAAGCGAGCCAATAATAGCTTTGTTCGACTCCGTATTGTCGCATTCGTCTTGTCCGCGGCAACAGGGGTCTTCTCTTCCGCGTGGGTCTCCAACGGCGGAAAATGTGATCTATCACCTGTGATATCTGTTTGAGAGCTCGTTAATGGCGTTGCCGCTCTTGAGAAATCGAAATCCACTCTCATCGGTACTGGCCCGTGTTTTTCCCGCTTCAACGCTCTGCTCGTGACTTGGCCCCTGTAAAAGTGACCCTTTAAGGAAGTGGCGCTCGTCCCGGACGGCCCGTCCATGCCATTTATGGTTAGAAAACATAAACTGGACGAGAGTTGATCGAGTTCAATCTCGCGTTCACTACTTGATTGGTCCATGTGATCGAGAAATAAATCCGCAAAGGAGGTTCCAAATCTGTTGACTCGGTTAAACCCCTGCAAGTATAAGTGGAGTATTTCCCGTGTATTTTTTTGTTCGTGTTTCTCGTTGGGGGCCATTTCTGTAGACTTTCCCCTTTCTCTGACGGTATTTCATTGAAACTTGGCCTATTTTGTTCTGTCATAATGAATCTCCAAAATAGGCTCATTCAAGGCTGAAAAGAAAGATGAAGACAAGCCTGAAGACTCAAACATCGTAACGGAGATAATTAACTATCGCAGAGATCTAAACACCAACACCAACAACAACTTACAAGGCTAACCACTTTTGCCTAAGTTGTACCGATGATCTTACAACATACGATATAATATATTATATCTCCATACGGAACCAGTTCCGCCATCTAACCATTGAGAACAGCACCCACTTGATTCTCGACCACCGTCGCCTCCATCACCTCACGCATACCCTCATCACAAAAGACATGCTGATCCCGGAAATAAAACCCGCTATCCGAGATCTCCACTGCAACTCCGTACAACTCCTCCAGGGGCAAGTGCCTGCCGGGTGTATCAGTCAGTCCCCGGCCCGCGGGTTTACCACCATCCACGAGCTGGAGCACAAGCCGGGCGATCGTTTCCACATCGATGAACCGACCAGGCGGAAAACTGTCCCAGCCCGTCGAGTCGACTAGATTAGTGCGCACGATTCCTGGGCAGATGGCGTTGACGCGGATCCCGCTTGCGTGGAAGTGTTGCGATATCGATCGCATGAATCCTACTACGCCGACTGCACTGTGTTAGTTTCGGTCGTTTAAGCAGAATAAGAAATAACATTGTAGATGATATGAGATCGCAACCAACAGATCACATCGATATCATATGATGGTACAATAGTACGCGGGGATACGGAGTACATGGATACTGTACAAATTAAGGTGGAGAACTCACATTTGGCCGCAGAGTACAGCGGCGAATAGAAAGACGGATACAACCCACCACAGCTAGCAGTCATGACCAAGCTCGAGTCTCGGCCTCTGTGAGACGAGTGATGGAAATAATGCTGGGCCAGGTAAGCCGTGAAGATGACACCCTTCAAATCAGCGTCGATCGAGAGCAGGTCCGGCTCCGGCGGTGGGCACACATCCCTGCTGTTCTCTGCTTGTGGCGTGGAGTAGAAATTGGTGCGTTCAATGACACCTGCGTTTGCGAATACAAAGTCGAGCTTGCTATGCTGCTGGAACATGTCCTGAAACGCGGCTGCAAGGTCGCTGTATTTGGTCACATTGGCGTGATGGAATATTGTCCGGGGTAGTTCTTTTGCTGTATGGGCTCCTCGCTCCGAGCTGATGTCGAGGATGTGGATTTCCCAGTCTTCGCGTAAGGATAGAGCGTTGGCCACGGCCAGGCCCATTCCGCTGGCTGTGTATTTAGTTAAGTTTAGCTTCTTTTTGCATGCGTGGGTTTTATGCGGGGGCTCATCACACCTCCTCCTGTGATTAATGCGACTTTGGTCATATCCCAGAGATTTCTTGATTTCATGAGTTTCAAATCAAGCTACCTAGGAGAACTCTTATATCATTCGTAGGTTCTTCGGATGGCTGTGTAGCAATGAATCCGTACCGGGTTGTGATTATCTTTGCCATCAATCTCCACAGCTCAATTATTCCTTGAGCTAATAATCCCTCACGGAGTCAGTCCGGGCAATGTCCGGGCTCCTGAAAAGATCAGCCCTATTATTTGTCAGGTAACATTCGGTTTTTTGACAGCTCCCCTAGTCGGATTCTTCATATCTGAGAGATGAGGTATAAGCTGTTTAATACTTGACTTGAAGTAAATCAGATATGCATCAGATGCACGGCTATCCTTTGGATCTCTACTCTTGAAATCGGGACGATCGAAGTCCTTGAATCCACAACTCAGTCCTTTGTCGTGGGGCAATACTCCGTAGTTCCCGTCCCATTACACCTGCAGTAAATTTGGTGCCATCTTAGACTTAGACAAGGGTATTGCTGTCAGAAAAAATCTAAAATCCTTGCTAAAATCCTTGCACAAACCCCTGTCAAATCCTTTTCAGGAATGTGCCACACGATTGCGGAAAATATCCGTATGTTGTACAGAGTAGTAGTGTCCCTAATCATCGCGACATCAGAGTGATTATAAGCAAATTATCTATCACCTATCGACAGTACCTTATGCCAGAGACAAATCCCTCGAGTTTGGTGAACTGAATGGCATAGAGTGATCCTACAACGAATGTGTGTCCTAGACCTTTGGTCTGATCTTGAAGTAGATCGGAGCGAAGATACCTAGCGAGGTTCATGTTGTAGTAAGAAGCTGGAGGTGATAGATCCAGTCTGATCGCACCGTTTCTGATCAATTGATATTAATATCGGGAGATCCTTTCTCCATAGTGTTATATCTTATTGTCAAGGCATCCAAGATTGCTTTTGTCACGAACGGACATTGTCATTGTTCTGAATTTTCACCATGTCCGCCGATGCCTTGACAGCTGAGACTTTCACTGAATATGGAATTGGCATGCTCTTCCTCTTAGTCCGGCTATATGCCCGACTAAATATAGGAGGCCTTCGCGGGCTCCAGCTGGATGATGTTTTTGCTGTTGCTGGCATGGTATGTTCAGTTTCCCCAAGCTTCACTAGGTTTGTTTTAACAGCGTCATGGCAGCTATTTTGGACCACGATGACTGCTATCATCTATCTGCTGGGTAAATACCAACCATAATTACCCCTTACAACACAGCTAACGTTGAAATAGGGGTGTATGGAAACAACATCGGACTAGACGAGCAAACAGCTATGCTTGTCCCAGACAGCAAAATATCTGATATGATCCTCGGATCGAAGCTGGCTTTCATGAACTGGATATGGTACATCTGCTATATTTGGTGTCTAAAGGGTGTTCTTCTATGTCTTTACTGGAAACTCACGTATGTCAACTTGTCACCCATCAACGGTCTATTGAGCATATCTAAAACTTCACAGACACGGAACCTGGCACCGTCACCTAGTTACAGCAACTGCAGCATTTTGCCTGATTACCTGGTTGATTTGCCTCTTGACGCATATCTGTATCTGCAGGCCAGTTGAGCGAAATTGGCAGATCAAACCCTACGCAGGAGGCAAGTCTCGATAGTTATTCACCCGACAGCCAACTAACCGAAACAGACAGCTGCACTCTCCGCGGACCTCTTTACATTGTCATCGCCGTTTTCAACGTAATGCAAGTCACCCCAAAAAGGCCCCAGACCCAGAACCCCATACTAACACTATGGTGAACAGATCCGACACCTGCATACTCCTCATCCCAATCCCAATCCTTGCCAAACTTCAAATCCCAATCGAACGCAAAATAATCCTGGTTGTGATGTTCTCCTCCGGGGTCTTCATTATGATCTGCACGATTCTACGCGCCTACTACTCACTCTCGTCGATCACAAACCTCGGCACAGCACTCGGTTGGGCAGACCGCGAATGCTTCGTCGCAGCCATCGTCGTCTCCCTACCCGGCATCAAACCGCTCTTCCGCAACACGCGCTGGCTGGGCTCGACGAACCGCAAGAACTCTAAGAGCCATTACTACAACAGTGATGCGTGCAATGGAACTTCCGGGAAGACGAAGACGTTTGTTTCGTCGCGGTCTCGGAAGAGTGGCGGGTTTGAGCTGGACAGTGTCCTGAATGCAGATAAGGCGAGACGCGCTTCCGGGGCGGGGAGTGAGGAGTATATTCTTGAGGGAAATCAGGGCGTGGGGGTTAGTGATGGACAGCATGACCCCATAGCTATTCGGGTTACGACGGAGTATACCCTTAAGCATGAACAGGGGAGTTCTTAAAGGTGTGAACTAATTCCGTTTGTATAAGTGATGAAAAATTTCCAAGGTGGTGAGAGAGTCCTCACTGTCACTCTATCGATATTTGTGATGTGACGAGAGTGCCATTGTCTGGTCAACATGATCTCATCATCAATGATATGCTGACATTACGATGCTGAGTTTGGTGCGCTTAATTACAAACTTGTTTTGTTATATTCTTTCTCGTCAATCTTCGGCGTTTTGGGAGTCCATACCTCTTCAGTGTCTCTTGGCCTGTTCACGTGATTTATTATGACCCGACGAGTTCTCAGTTTTGCCAGTTGAGCGGTCAAAATCTTACAATTCTCTAATGATATTCTTCAACGTGTAAAGTTATTGGTCGAACGAGTGATTATCCTGTCTCAAACCGGACAATGGGTTGCGCCGCCAGCAGCCTCGGTTTGGCCACACTTGCTGTAATCATGAGAAAATCAGATACTGAGTATCGATGGGCTTCAATATGCCCCAAACGATCGTACTCCGTTCGCGCGCGTTCGACTCCTTTTTTGCTGCTTCACTCTTAAAATAGAGCAATATAAATTGAACCGTTTTACTTTGATTCTCGCCATCCACCGAAGGGATTTGCTCAATGACCCACTCGTGGCCCTTTGGTACTATGCCGAGGACCGAGGCTGGCGGCCCGTAGATGCGCGGTGGATATGTCGCGGTACCCTATACCAGAATTCACCGCCTTTTAGAATTCTCCTAGTTCTACCGATTTGAAACTCCTAGTCGGCAGTATATTTAATAGGAAGGCGGTCTAGGAAGACATTTTCCTCCTAAAATACTTACTTGCTTACTTACTCAGGTATGCTTGCTTATCAGCTTCTAATAGTCGTAATTAGTTTGAGATTTGTAACTCTTTTAGAGAGAGGCATTTTAATTAATTAGACCTTCAAATTTGAACTTAATGCGACCGTTGGAAAGTGAGTAATTAGAGAAAATATAAATTGCTGTATACTCATTACAGCTGTGGAACTACGACAAAACTAATTTTCTGCTCGGCAGAAAATTAGTCAGCTAGCCATACGCTGTGGTCCGATCCGTCGCCCATACAGGCGCGTGCCAGGCGGTGTAGATTTGAAGAGCATCCAACCTCGAACCCAAGAAAAGAAAGACCAGCTAGCCAATATGCTCCGAGTCTGGCGACGGTCCGGTTTTCCCTCGTCAATTACTCAGCATTGCCTCCATTACTCCATTCGACCATTATCTGACATAGGAAACAAAACCAACGCCCCTGTGCCCCATCCCAGGCCCCGCAGCTCATCCCCAGGAACAGATTCGCAACAGCCAACTCTTCGTTAGTAGTAACCTGAATTCCCTGCAATTGCTTAAGGACTTTGTCGCTGACTTTAGATTTGAAGGCGATGATCCGCATTCGTACACTGGTGGAAGATGGCTCAATCGGGACAACCTCGAGCGAGACTCGCGCTACATTGCGTTTGACTTCTCAGCGCTGTGTGAGCGGGCCATTCGCGCATGCCCAGGAGCAACCAAAATTATCAAATACGAGAAGCGAGAAGGTGGATTCAACCGAGTCTTTCTTTTAACAATGGACAATGGACCTTGCGTTATAGCAAGGATACCCACCAGTATTGCTGGTCCGCCAAGGCTAACGACCAACTCCGAAGTTGCAACGATGACTTATTGTAAGACTCATCAGTATACCGGGATATGGCTGACATGCTCACTGCATTATGTCTCTTATAGTACAGTCCAAGATCTCACTTCCGATCCCGAAAATTCTCGACTGGAACGATGATCCTTCTAATCCGACTGGGACTGAATATATCATCCAGGAGCATGTGGCGGGTGTTCAACTACACCAAGTGTGGCCTGCAATGAACACGGAACAGCATATGCTGTGTACCAAAGCGCTTTCATTGACATTGAAAAAGATGGCTTCTCTGGACTTCCCGGCTTATGGGAGTCTATACTTCGCAGATGCACCTCTAGACTCTAACTCCAAGGTTCCCTTTGAACAGGGCTTCTGTATAGGGCCACATTGCAGTCCGGTCTTCTGGAACCGGAATTCAGGGGAAAACGAGCTCTACGGTGGCCCAAGTCCCAATTGCGGACCTTGGAAAGACCTCGCAAGTTATTATCATGGCTTGATAGATACCGCTTTCTCTCGTTTGCCCACAGCAGCCACTAGTAGTCGCGAGACTCTGCGACATCAAGGATCAATCCAAGATCATATCCGTCTATTGAAAATCAGTCAAGAGGTGATACAAAAGTTAATCGAAGATCAGCGCATTAAGGATGCTACTACTCCAGCTCTTCTCCACCCGGACTTCCACAAGAGGAATATCTTCGTCTCAGCCAACGAACCAACCGTTATTACTGGCCTGATAGATTGGCAATCAACAAGCGTCGAGCCCGCGTTTATCTATGCCAATGAGACACCCGATTTCGCTGCGCTTTCGGTCATTCCCGACGAAGATTCATCCGAGAACGATCAAGATGACCCTGAACTTTCTAAGCGGCAGGAAAGAGAACTGAGAGATACATCCATCTGCTACCAGACATACGATGTGATCATGACAGGCCTTACTCCTAAACTCCGCCCCGCAAGATTACTTGACCCAACTCTTTTCCGACTCTTTCACTACAGCCAAACAACATGGAGCGACTCCGCTGCTGCTATCCGCCAAGAATTGATCGAACTTTCGACTGGCTGGGAAGAGCTAGGCCTAGAGGGCTCATGTCCATATACTCCCACAGAAGCGGAATTAAAGCAGCATGCTCGAGACTACGAAGATTTTGAGTCCGTTCAAGCACTGAAATTATGGCTAAAAAACACACTTGATACAGATTCTCACGGATGGATCCCGAACGATGCATGGGACGCTGCGAGGGCTGTTCATCGCGCAGCGTATGATGAATGGATACAGACTGCCAAAGACGCTGAGTCTCGCGGTGAAGACATGACAGTGGAAAGGGCGGATAAGATGTGGCCATTTGACGCTAGGTAGTCAATCTTCTTGCGGATATCGCCTGGAACCATCTCGCCTTGGTTCACAGTGACTAGCTCAACGTTCTCGGCGCGACGCAACTTACTTGCAATATCGCTGTCATAAACAAGAATAATGATATGTATTATGTATTACGAGGCCCGTCAATATTTCTACCCAACTTTAAGTGGACAGACTGATAGAAGGGGGTGGTATAGCTCCCGTTGTCCAATTGAAGAGCCAAACCACCTCCGACAAGAATTTGGTCATTCACCCTCACTTTTGATATAGGTACAAGAATAGTCGGCCGCCTGTGCCTTTGTTACCCTATATGCATCAGCATTGAAACCGAGGGTGACTAGAATCTTGACAAGATCCAATTGGCCTGCTCTGGCATAAATTACGGGGCAAAATGCATTAGTGACATGCATCATGGTCCTGCCAAGCCTCCATCCAGTAACTGCAAGTGGTTTTAGTGTGCTGATCCCAGTCTAGTAAACAAGTTTTCGTCCTATATCGTAGACCCGCATATGCTAAATGGTAGACACGGGATCATCCCTGTTCACTCATCTATAAGTGGTTTAGTTGGACTGGCTCCATTATTCTTCGGGACGAAAATAAACAATGACAATGCAATAACCCCTTATAGCATTAGCCCACATTTTATCTAAGCATGAGATACCTAACTAACTAGCTAACTATCGGGACTTTTGTCACAAATGATCGCTCTTAGACAGCAATTCCCCTCATCTAGCCAGATGCTGGGGATAGTTCATACTTCCGTTCTAATTTTGCCATTTGCTCTCGGTGCAAGGTGTTTGTTCCAAGTTCACGGACAACGTTCAAAATGGCAGTCATCGATTTATCAAACAGACCTACTATTCATCCCCAAGTTGCCATTACACCCAGCGCCCCCGAGAAACTGGTGCATTTGCAAAAGGAAATTGAATCTCATTCCCAGGCTTACAGAAATGGCAACGCCGATGCGCGCCTGAAGCTGCTAGAGACAGCCCGGTCTCTCGTACAGGCAATGGAAACACCACAGGAAACCATGCTACGATACTGCTGGGCCCAGGTACGTCAGAACAGAGATCTTAGTTCAGGAACCAAGAATGCTTATTCGATTGTTTATGCGTAATAGCCCACAGCGTTCGCCGGCATTGAAACCTGCATCGATCTGGGGATCTTCTGCATATTAGCGCAGACTGACAAGCCTAAAACGGTAGCAGAGCTCGCAGCAATAACAGACGCGGAACCCGAACTTCTCGGTCAGTGATAACTTTCAAGTCAAATAATTATGACGCTCATAATTTCCAAGGTCGTATCATGAAGCATCTCGCCACAATGGGGGTCTTTGTCGAAACTGGTATGGATGAGTATGGCCGCAACGGGCTAACTACCACATTGGCTATTAAGCGGTACAATGATGCTTGGCCGTGCATGTAAGTAGTTCCACCTCTAGGTTGTTCTCCCGTCCATATTGGTGTACTGACTTGATTTCCGCTGGCAGTAATGGATGCACCCTCCCAGCAATCAATGCGCTGCCCACCTGGCTCAAGAAAAACAATTATCGAAGTCCCACCGAAGGTACAGACTGTCCGTTTACCCTAGGATTTAAAACCGAATACCCCTTCTTCGAATTCCTCAACGGCAAGAACCCCGACTATCCCGAACTCGGCGCTCAATTCAACAATCTCATGTCGGCCTACCACCAAGGTAGACCTAGCTGGATGGATGGAAACTTCTACCCAGTACAAACTCTCATCGAGGGAGCAAAGACCGGCGAGGAAGACGTTTTCATCGTGGACGTTGGGGGAAACAAAGGGCACGATCTAGACGAGTTCGTATCGAAGTGGCCAAACACACCAGGAAAATTGATCCTGCAAGACCAACCGCATGTTTTGAATGATATCAAGTCGTTGAACCCGGCAATTAAGCCCATGGCCCACAACTTCTACCAAGAACAGCCCATCAAGGGTGAGTGGATTGACACACAGAGAGCGTTAGCTAGTAGCTGACATATCTGTAGGCGCACGAGTATATTTCTTGCACTCCGTCCTGCACGACTGGAATGACGAGATATGCCAGAAAATCTTGTCACAATTGGTCGCCGCCATGACACCCGGATACAGCAAGTTGCTGATCAATGAGAACGTTGTTCCCAATACCGGGGCCCACTGGCAGGCTACTTCTCTGGACTTAATAATGATGGTGGATCTTGCTGCTAAGGAGCGGACTGAACAGCAGTGGCATCAAATTATTGAGCCAGTTGGCCTCAAAATTACTAAAATTTGGACGCCGCTGGACAGTGTTGAGAGCTTGATCGAATGCGAGTTGGCCTGAATAAGCCTAATAGTAAGAAGAGGAAGATCAATAAACTCCATTTTTATACTTCTCAGGTGGTTTTAGATATTTAATATGGGCAGAGATGGTCCGAGAGGACGTTGTTCTATAGAATTCCCTTTCTAAATTTATTGGGAATGCTACTCTTTATGAAATCGATTTCTCTTTCCCTTAATTCCCCTAAATCTTCAGCTATTACTCTAGCGCGAAGTATCATGCATTTTTTTGCTTTTGAAAGAGACACCGGGGGGGGAGGGCGAGGGCTGCCTGTGGAATCCCACGATCCCCCCGTTTCTCTCAACAGAAATATTTCGTTATGGAAATTGATGATGCAACAAGTCTAGTAGATTTCCTCTCTTTCTTTTATTTGTCCAAGGGACAAGAGCGTAAAGCATATCAGTACACTAAGTTACACATTGACAGAGAGGAAGTATCGGGAAGAACACAGAGGAGCGCAGATCGGGGGAATGGATATGCTGAAAGATCAGGAGGGGAAAATGCACCGAAGGCAATACGGGAGATGGAGAGATGGCAGAAAGGTCTATATAATACACAACTCCAATCCCAGTCCCTGATATGCATTACAGAAGAGAGATCAAGCAGTAGGCTTGTCTCTAGGGAGGGTGGCGTCAAACAGGATGCAGGGATTCGGCAGGTCGGTTCTAAGCCTTGCCAGCCTGCTTCTTCTTCTTCTCCTCGGCGTCAAGCTCGGCCTTGGGGACGAGGGTGTCGCCCTCGACGTTATCGCCTGCAGCAACGGTCTCGGTCTTCACCTGGGTGTTGACATCCTTGGCGCGGGTCTGCTTCTCAGTGGGGTGCGACGACGCATCTAGCTCGGCGGCAGTGGAGGGAGCTTCGGGGGTAGCGGGAGCTTCGGAGGGGGGAGCATCGGACTGGGGTTGGGGCTCATCGTCGTCTTCCAGCTCGGCGCCGTAGATTTCGGGGTGTTGCCGGAAGCAGTCTTGCATTCCCCTGCAAAAATTGTTAGCACAGGACCACTGCCTTCAAAATGACAGTAAAACATACTTGAATTTCTCAACGCAGTCGATACCCTTTGGCTCTTCCTCGGAGTAGACGAAGCAGCTGAACGCAGCCTTGAAGTCCTCTCCGCATGGCCCGTGGGCCATGCCTCCAAGACACGGGCAGTCCCAGTTGATCTCGCCGGTCTCCGGGTTGAACGCAGCCTCCTGGCCAGCCTCCTCCTGGAGCTCCTGGGCATTCAGTCCACCTTCCAAAGCAGCAGACTCGTTCTTTTGGGCCTGCGCGGCAGCTCGTTCTTGCCGAATCTTGGGAGTAATGGAGTCGAGAGTCTGGGGGTTGGCATCATCAACATTTTGTTTCCGGATCGAAGAAAGGATGGAGACTAAAGCCAAATGGAAGCAGAGTTAGCGATTTGTGATTCCAAAACTCAGAACCTTGACGGTGACGGGATTGTCGCGGCTTGCAACCCCGGGGACCGAGGAACAAGGGCAAACCCCAACTCCAATCGGCGACACGTACACTTCGGCTCCTCGGAGAAAGTACTGCTCGTGTTGTAGTAGTAGATAGCACCACCGGCCAAGCCCAATCGCAAGAAGGTATTCTTCCAGCTTCTCGACTTTGTCGGACCGGTGCTTATCAATCGTCTGTTCGCTGGTGTACGGGCTGCGACAGCGGGCGCGCGAGCGAGCGCTCGAGCGGCGGGGCGGAACATTATGTGTGAGAGGAGTGCGGATCAATCGAATTGACCGAGAGTTCCACCAAGAAGGGATTGAGAGGAGGAGAGTCGAAACACCGCGGGATGGAGAAGTTGGAAAGCGATGTGGATTTTGGCCTGAGGTTGCGTACCCGCGTCAGCCAGTCACGTTGCAGCTTGGTCAAGATAATTATATCGTCACCACCAACCCTTTCGGCCTTGATTTCTCTTGGTTTGTTTACGTCTTTTGGACTTCAATTTGGTTTGTATTCATCTCTTGCAATGGAGTGGGATCCCAGCCGATTCTTCCGTCCTGAGGGGAGTCCTTCGCCTTACGCTCTTCTCATCCTTAACCAGCCAATCAATGAGAATGCTTTTGGAGTGTTGAGCAGATATGGTAAGATTCTATATGAATTGTGCATAGATGCAGTTCTTGGATAAGAGATGCTAATGCCGATGCAGCATCCTATATTATTTGCGCCGATGGAGGTGCCAATCGGCTTTTTGATATGCCAGAAGTTAATGGAAAGGGATCTAAAGCAGTAAGCTATATATATAGACATTAATTGCATAGTCTCTCTGGACTGCAACTTTACTCTCAACTGCAGCACAAAAAGATCAAGCTGACCAGAGAGATAGCTTCCTGACTCCATTGTCGGCGACCTTGATTCTATCCGCCCCGCAGTGCGAAGACATTATGAGAAGCTCGGAGTGCCCATCCTCCAAGATCCAGACCAATACTCAACAGACTTCACGAAATGTCTGAAATATCTCAACGTACATGCTGCAGAGATCATGGCTTCTCCCCGAAAAGGAGCAAACACTCGGACCAAATCAAAGACCAATGGCGCAAATCAAAGCACATCAACCTCACCATCTGATCAATCACCTCTGGAAGTTGTGATCCTCGGCGGTCTGGGTGGCCGTGTGGATCAGGCTTTCTCCCAAGTGCACCACTTGTACATGATGACGCAGAAGCAACGCTCGATTCGTGAAAATGAAGCCGACACCTCTGATGCCAAGCCAGCTGCAGGTGGTAACCTATATCTCGTCTCCGAGGAAAGCATTACCTTCATTATCCAAACAGGGAAGAATACAATCTACACGCCTGCAACAAGACGAGCAGATATCGCGACAGCTTCGGGATCTAATGTAAGCAAGTCACCGAGAAAACGGAAGCGCGAGCAAGAGCAGGAGCAGGAGCAGGAGCAAGTGCGACAGCCAAAACCAGAACCAGTATACTTCTTCGAAGAGAATATCGGGATCATCCCCCTCTCGTCACCTGCCGAGATTACAACCCATGGCTTTGAGTGGGATGTGGAGAATTGGCATACCGAGATTGGAGGGCAGATATCCACGAGCAATCATATTCGCGCCGACAAGGTGGAGGTTGAGACCTCTGTCCCGGTTTTGTTTACAGTGGAGTTGGCGGAGAGGTTGAAGAGGTGACCGTGAGCGTGAAGCATGACATTGGGTACGGAGGTTAATAGGAACCACCACGGCAGTCTGTCCGGGGCCTAACGCTTTACGAAGCCTCGGCTGTCAGAATCACATAACGCTATCGCGAATTTGCGATTCAGCCCCCACCCATAGCAGCATATTTGTTAAATTGGCTTCCACCAACCGCTGCGTGTCCCGTGCGCGTTTTGATCAATATAAAACCCCACGTGGGCTTCTGTTTCGATCTCTTCATGAACCGCTTGACTCCAAGCACCTGTCAAGAACCCTGTCGTCGGCATCTGTGGGGTTTGACGACATTCCGCCTATCTACAGAACAAAGGCCTGAGCCAGCATCAAAAGCCGTCCACAGCATGCGTAAACTTGACTATAAATATACTACTACTCTCGGATATTCTTGTCATAGACTGGAAAATAATGAATCGGTCATTAGGGCAAGCAGGGAAGAATCTCCCAAAGAGATGATCAGAACAAGAACCAGAATAAGAACTCCCAAGGCGCCTGCTCTGGCTATAACGGGAGACCAAGAAAGATAAAGGAGAAGGCAAAGAAAAAACCCAATATCGCATATCGCATAACCCATAAACGAAGAAAGAACAACGGTGGAGACGGATGAGATAAAACACGCCCAACCACTGAAGAACCATTCGCCAGATAACCTGTACAGCCTCACAAAAGTCATATTCTGTCGCTTATGGGCGGTGCAGAATAGCTTCGTACAGAGCAGTCACACCGCCGATAGCAGATCCAGTCAAGATACCGAGGTCTCCACCAGGGACGGAGTCAATAACCTTCCCAATAGCATACCGACTATAGAAACCAAAGAAGTTGAAACCTTTGCCGAACACAATGTGCACGAGCAAGGCTTTGACGATGTTGAAAGTCAACGGATCAAACTGGGCGAGATTAGGCGCAGACTGGGTGCGGCGCGCACTGCTAGAAGCATTCCAGCTCAAGTTGATAAAGTAGGCAGAAATCAAAGGCAAAAGCAGACAAGTAAGGAACCACAGCGAAAACGGCCCCCAGAACGATCCTTCCAGCAGCACAAATAAATCAGGAACCCGGACCCGAATCGCCGGAATCTGTGCAGCTTGCACAACCGGTGTAGTGGTAAGGAAGCGTATCGGGATCAACTCTTTCGCAAGACTGCCACTCTCAAACAGCAGCACGATGATCTCAACCGCCTTCCCGCTGCTCAGCGTTGCTCGCAGAGAATGCGCCCGCTCTACCAAGCCCGATGCAGTCCATGCATCCTCAATTCTCTCGCGCAACTTGAGCGTCTGTGCGTCGATAGCTTCGGTGATGGCAGCTGGAGATGCGGGCAGTGATGGCTCTGGGTCCACGACGGTAGAGAGAACTGCTGGTTGACGGGGTGTCTGTTGGGGTGTTTGGCGCGCAGACTGGCGTGCGCTCGTGCGCCCCACAGCTGGCGTCGGGCTGATTACAGTTGGGCTGGGCTCGGCTTCTTCCGCATCCTCGCTACTGCGTGGGTTAATATATGCGTGATGACGATAGATCGAATGGCGCGTTGAGGCCGCTCTTACTTATTTTCATCTGTTTCCTCTTCCCTCGCTTCCTTCTTAGTAGAGCGGCGTGCCGGGGTTCGTGCCGGGGTTCGCGCGGATTCGCGCTTCACGGGCGATCCTCCTCTGCGGGGTGGAGAGGCCAGGCGTAAGTAGTATTCAGAGAGGCTTTTGAGTCCGGAGAAGATTGAGCGGTTTTCACGGAGGTGTCTGTCCAGAACTACTACAAGATCATTCTTGTTATAGTCATTGTAGCTATAGATTTGATCAGCTCAGTCTATGCCGTAATCGCATTCGTTCTTACTGTGGGAGTTCGGTCTGATCGGCCAACTCGGCCAACTCAGGCTTTTTCAGCGACTTGAGATAAGGAAGAGACATAATGTATCCGATATCACTGTAGAAATTGGACCAATGTCAAATAAGAAAGTAAATGCTGGGGGGAGAGAAGATGCAAGGAGGGGGAGTGGCCGGTAATTGTTTACATCCGCCGATCGCCAAAACAAAACACGGTTTAGCGCGTTCACTCCCTTTGTTCAGTGTCATTCCGCTGGGCTTTTTGCTTTCTTTTTTATATGTATTTTAAGAATATATAACCAAGGTTGTATGATAGAAGGGTCCAAGCATTTCCTGTTGATATCTAGTTATTACGTGGCTTGCCCTTCTTCCTTAGATACTAGTCTAAACAGATATAGAACCCGGAATATAGATATGTCAATATATGCAATATGGAGTTGGAAAAAAAGATATGGTACAGGAGGCCGCAGCCAGTCTAATAATCTATCACGGAGTAGGGTACACAGTATACAAAGTGCTGAAAGCAGGGTCATAACATCCCAGATCGGGACAAAGAATCCAACGCCTCCAGTTCCCAATGACAAAAAAAATGTAAAAAGAACAGCAACCTTGGAAATGCATGCAGTTAGATGAAAGGTCTTAAGACTCTTCTAGAATCTGGTGAGCCTCGAGCTGTTTGAGCAGGTACTGATACATAACCAGCATAGTCCCGCTTTGGATGCTAGTCCATACACCGCGTGGGCCCACGCCGCGGAACCATCCGGCAATACCTTCCGTTCGATAGATCATCTTCAACCCTGTGAACACGGAGGAAGTGTCAAGTCGGGGTGTACCCGGCGGTGGGATTGTTGTGTTTGCCCCTGATGTGGAGATTGGTCGCGAGTGTGCCCGCGAAGGGTGGGAATGTGATGGTGTCGACGTGTGCGGCCGTGGGCTTTCTTTCGGTACGTTTTCAACAGTGTGTTTGGCGCCCGAAGAACCGGACGGAGGCTCTAGGGGGTTTTGCTGGGTTTGGATGCGCGTCTTGACCACATCCATCGGACAAGTGATCACACCAGCCATACCGCCGGCGGTGGCGGCTGTCAATATTTCCAAGCCCAGCCCAATGTCCCGTTGTCCAACCCATTGTTTAGCCATAGATTGCTCTTTCTCGTAGAATGCGAATTGAAGCGCCGAAAATGGGAGGTCGCGGAATATAGTGGCCTTGTAGCCGTGGAATAATGCCGAAAATCCTTCCTGGCGGACGATCTGACGGAACCCATCTTGCATATTGCGGTAGTTATAGCCCGAGTTGAAGTGCGGGTTGTTGTATCGGCCCTGCAACTGGAGTCGGGTTTTCAGCACCTCGGATGGCACATAGACAACCGACGCAGCTAAGTCGGCAAAGAAGCCGCCTGATAGATATGCAATGTTGGAGTTGATCCCCAAGTCGATCATCAAGCGCTTGGTATATTCATACACGCCGAAGAAGATCACGGTGCCGGGGAACGAGCCAAGCAGGGCCGGCGTTACTCCTCCATATAATCCGCGACAGAATCCTTCTTGGCGGTAAATTGTTGAATAGGACTGGCCCATGGAAGTGTATTTAGGCGGAAAGGTCGGATCGCCTTGTTGTCGAGTCTTGACTGTGTCTAATGAGTGCATCAACATGTCGCCACATGTTCCTCCGGTGCCACCGGCCAACATCGCCTATAATTTCAAATCAGGTCAGTCCTTGGGCAATGATATGATGCCGCTAGGGGCAATTGTACATGTAGGTATGGCGGCCGAGGTTCCTCGTCCTCCAACAGCGCGAGGTCGCCATTTCGAAGAGTGCAGCTTGAATCATCGGTTCCACCCACTGGCGTCTGCTGTGTCCATGTCGAGGTATTCGAGTCCCCCGCAGGCGGTGCTGTTGAGTCCGAAGTCGCTGTCGAGAACAGGCCGAACACTCGCGAGGTCAGGCTCATGGCAATATTATGCTAAATTGGGATCCCGAGGGTACTGGTCGGGACCAGACTGGGATATGGGGGTGCTGAGGGGCTGAGGTATTGAGCGGGAGAGGAGCACCCCTGGGAGGTAAGGATAATAGGAAAGAGTGACAAGAGACCGGGAAAGGATTGATTAGTATTGTTTGCAAGATGATTGTTCCGCCAGCCAAAATTCTGATCGGCTTCTTTTCGCCGCCAAGCCCGATAAGTCGGTCGCCTCAGGCACGAATCACGGGATTCCGTCATTGGAGTCATTCGATATTTCGAGAGAGATACGATCTAAAAACAGCATATGGCATGAACAACTATGTATATTTGATCGGAGAGATTTTTTTCTATATGTGTGAGGATATAAAATAGTCAATTGCTACAAGCCGCAAATGAGCTTCTTGATTGTCCTTGATATCCTCCACACAACTATATATCTCCGTAATTGCATGCTCATTGTTAATAAACTTATGCATAGAGCTTGTCCAATGCTAGTAAAACCAGCTAATTTCACAGGGCTTGGGGTTTCTTTAGTTTCAGTTACCGCTAGGCCATTTTATGAAAGAACCCTGATGATCAGCGGGGTTGAGTAAGAGCCCCTCGAGTCTAGTATAACTAAGCACTAACCTACCTTGATTCGGGCAAATATGTCTCGGGAAAACTGTCTATCTCTGATATCTTCTTTGTCTAGACCAGATTGATCGGTTATAAACTGTCCTGCAGGACGTTGAGCGCTTGTTCCGTTGCAGCCTTCCTGCCCCAGAAGCCCTCCCACCCTTTTGTACTAGATTTCGGATCTCTACGACTCTCCGTGATTGAAATAATGAAATGAATCCGAAACAAGGTATGTTGACAAGAGGAGAGCAAATACAGACTATGCATCGCAATACTCTAGAAATAATAAACACAAGTCATTGCGTATAGCATCATCATGGCAGGAATCCTCCGCGTCCTTCTTTTCTACAGTCGGGACCTGGGCGTCCCACACTCCGACATCCTCCATGTTCTTTGCTCAGGCGGGAACATGCCAATGGGAAAGATACAGCTGTAATATTATTTGCACCAGCCACCTTGACTCAGCAACATTGCAAACCAAAAACCCATGTTCTTTCCTGATGTCATGAGCTCCAGCATGCAAAGCAAGGTGTCTGGCATACCATATCGATATTTACTGCGGCTTCTTGGCAGCGGTAGGGCCAGAGATGTAGCGGCCAATATCGGTGACCTCGTAACCCTGGCGCACAATACCCTTGATGGCCTCCCAGCCCTGGCGAACCTGGGGAGGAGTGCTCTGGTGGGAGATAGTGGCATCGGCACGGGCAGTAAGCTGGCGGACAGCTTGCTGGACGAAGGAGCTCTGCGCATAGCGGGCGCGGAAGAAAGACAGGTAGATGGCCAAGAGGACCCAGCTACCCTTGGAGAAAGTGATAGCAGACAGAGCAAGTCGGAACAGCAGGGCGATCTCGAGGGTCGCGACAACACCCATGCTAGCATCGTAGTATTGCTTGATGAACCGTCCAATGGTCTCGGCGAGGGGAGACTGCTTGACAGCGGGCTTGGAGGTGGGAGAAGTGGGAGAGGCAGGGGCGGCCGGAGCAGCGGGCTGCAGGGTAGGGATCAAGTACATGCGGCTGTAGGTTGCGACGTGGAAGACCGAGTAGACGCTGAAAGGCAGAAGAGCCAGGATGAGCTGGCGCGAGTACAGCCAGACCAGAGCCATCCCTAGAATACGTGTAAGCTTGAATTTTGGGCTGTCGCATAGCCGATCACTTACCAAGGTATTGCACATTCTCATCAGAGATGAGCTTCAACACAATTGCCAGAGGGCTGCCTTGAACACCTCGGGCGAAGTGGCCCTTGTACACGACGATTCCATAAGTCACAGCGGCCGAGACGAATGTTAAACGGTAGGCGATCTGTGCCGCAGAGGAGTAGTAGTTGAAGAAGATGCAAGACAGGGAGTAGCGGAAGACTGAGAGCAAAAGTGTCACATGTCTAAAAATTGTTAGTTGGCCTGAACTGATCTTTGTCGGTGTGCGCTTCAGATTGACCTACCCAACGAACCAGGCAAACCTGTAACGTGACATCTCGTTAGTATGGATAAACAAGGCATTGAAGCTTCATTTCAGCCTTGGACTGGAGAAACGTACTGTAGGGTCTGCGCCAAGGCCTTGAGTCTCTCAACCAGAGGCAAGGTGGCGGAAGGAGGAGGAGCCATATCTTGTTTTTTCCACAGATGAAGAGGATGATAAAATTACTCGAGATGAAGGAGAAGGCAGAAGCAAAAAAAAGGTGGAAAGCGACAGATAAGACGGTGGCTGGGGAGAGAGCGGGGAGACCAAGTGCACAGGTTCACAGCCGTGGACACACACGCCTCAGCTTCGCCTCTTCGCTCTCTCCGCCTTCTGCCGTAGTGACGTCGGGGATTCGGGATGATGCAATTCCTTATCTATACATCTATAGAACCTCTTCACTTTGATTTTATATACTTCTCGACTTCTTTTTTTGTCTCAGCCTCGAGTCGAGTCGGTGTGACTGACCCGCTTGAGGAGATCCAGTTTTAGCACTAACGCCAGGATTCTTCAATAGTTCATGTATAATTAGTTATATTTTGATAGGTCACACATTTTGGTGAATAAATGTCAACGCAAAGGGGCTTGGACAGAATTGGTACATAATCCAAGCTTGATCGGAGCTCTCCTGGGAATATTGACAATAGAATCGGGTAGAAGAGTCATAACTCTCACAGCCTTAGGGTTGATTCAGCTACTAACCAGAGGGGATAGTGGACAATGACTTGACTCGATCATTTATCCAAAACAGTATCCATCGAGACTCGTGATTCTCGACAAGGTCAAGCCAACTTATCACACCTTATAAATTGAAGCACGTTACAGAAGCTAGGCAAACACGCCCTTTCGGACGTTTAGTCTTTGATTGGAATACTCTTCAGAGGTTGGATTCCTTCAATGCTATATTTAGACCGATTTGAGCCAAGAAGTGACAAAATCATAACGTATCTCAAAGCGAGCTGGACCGCGAGCAATGTCAACAGCCAATGCTGTTGGTATTTCATTGGTTGTCGATGGCTAGTTTGTTGAATTTCCCGAATCCCCCGATAGTGATTAGATTTCATAGAGAGTACTATGTTCTAAATAACCGTTGTTGTAAGATCGTGTTGCAATTCATCGCATTTGCTATGTCTCGAAGGCCAGCTCGCTTGTGAAATACGAGACCTTGGTAGCAAGCACAGCCTAATCTCGTTATTCCTTCGGTCCGGTCCCCATGAGCGACGTAGTACCCCGCATACGAGTTGCGATTACCATATGAATAAGGATTACAATAGCCGATGCTTAATATGCACTACAAAGGCTTGTCGCAAAACAAGGGTAAACCCATATTATTGTCGAACCCTTCCTGCGTTCGGAAATTACTTCTATACTATAGATGAAACGAGGTACTTCAGCGCATCCCTCCGATGTAGCACGCACTAAATCTGCCCCGAACATGACTGGCGAATCAGTTGAAGTGCATAATCTGAATACGGTGATCTACACCAATCGACCCTAGTACCCGGATAAGCCCTACTATTTTTAGGCGTGCACGTTGTGCCCTGACAGGTGATTAAGCTTTCGAACATCGGACGTTTGAATAACACGGGAACTCCCTATAGGGTTTATACGGGATGGCCTTCCTGAATGTAGATTCATTAATCTCGCTTGATGCAATCTCGACTAGGGATACGGGCTTTGTGGGAAAAAAAACCATGAAGATCTCTCTCTACATTCCACTTCTATACGAGCTTCGTGGGGCAAGAGCACGGGATCAATCTGGCAAACAAGGGTCCGAAGCATGCAACAATGTACAAAGTAATTGATTGATGTAGTATACAATCTCGAGGAATTGAGGATCGCAGAGATATAAAGTGCTCATTGATTCCCCTTCAAGATCCTCTGTCCATCAGCTCACAAGATCACGCATCGGCTAGTCTTCAATCTTCAATACCAGCCTCAACTTCTCAATATACTTCAAGTATAACCTAAAGCTCATTCAAAATGGTGTTCACTCCCATTTTGGCACTCGCATTTGCCGCTCTCATGCCAATTGTCAATGCCTACCCGGTCACTGGCAGCGTCGTCGACTGCCACTCTGGTCCAGGAGCCTCTCACTCCGTAGTCAAGACCTACGAGGAGGGAGCTGACATTGAAATCGCCTGCCAGACGACTGGCACTGCCATCGATGGCAGCAACATCTGGCACCAAACCGCCGACGGCTGCTATATTTCCGACTTCTCCAGCGATGTCACCGAGGAATGCACCAGCGATGACACCCTCAGCGAAGACACCGTCGATGACGAAGACACCCTGAGCGAAGGCACCCTCAGCGAGCGCAGCACCAGCAGCAATCTGCCCGGTTTCTCGGCCACCCAGACAAAGCACGCAAAGGCCATCATCACAGAAGCCAAGAAAGAGGGCCTGGGTCGTCAGGGCTGTCTCGCTGGAATTGCAACCGCTCTTGTTGAGGTGAGTGCTAACATACACATTCAGTTGAAATATAACAACACAGAAGCTTGCTAACACTACCTCAAGTCTAACAATTCTTATTTACGCCAACAAGAAGGTCCCCGCTTCCCTCAAGTATCACCATGATGCTGTGGCGAAGACTACGACAGCGTGGGCATCTTCCAGCAACGGGCTGTTTACTACCCCAACATCGCTGCTGATATGGATGCTGCAAAGTCGGCCGCGCAGTTCTTCAAGATCATGAGGAAAGTCAGTGGCTGGAAGAAAATGAATACTGGCAAGCTTTGCCAGAAGGTGCAGGGCTCTGCGTACCCGAGTCGGTACCGGGAGCGTGTCCCTGAGGCTAAGAAGATTTGCTCTGCTGGTGGCCTGTAGATGGACATTGTGTTTGACATTTTCTGTTTAGATATTGTCATGGGGTGTGGACTACTTGTTTTTTTGGCATCTGAAGGTGTTTGTGGCTTGCTCTATCATTGATTTGATACGAGAAATATGCAGATGGATATTGCCCTCTCTTTTGGGGGCCCAAAGAGGGCACCAAGGTTAAGACTACTGTTCGCTCATGTCATATATGTTCCAGATCTAGAGTAGCAGGGTGGGATTAGTGAGAATGAGAAAGAAAGGTTAATGTGGAAAAAAGAATTTCGGATTTTATAGGGCAGATTCAAAAAAGAAACGTCAAAATACCCTTTCGCTGTACTCGTCCTTCTGTCATCGGCTCTTCCGCTACTTTAGTTAGTATCCATTCAAAGTTGTTTGAAATTGGCCAGTCTATCGGAATGAGGCTTGTTCTTCTTAACTAACCCGCTTAGGTCCCCGCTATTGCTTATGTTATAGCACTGCCACTGCCTACACCGGAGTCCCCACGGGCGTCCGTTAAGCCCGGCCCCACACGGTTCCCCGGGAAGTTACGCGTCCCCAGCCAATTAAATCATTTTCGCGCCGCAGTAGCTTACTAGCTCATTCAAAAGTGTCAACTTCTCATCTTTCCCTCTCCCTTTTCATGCGATTCAGACAGACACAGTATGATACCTTCAGGGTGCCCGCTTGAGGCGGACAATAGTTTCGGCCCCGTGACGAATCCTGGGTGCCGCGATGGCTTTGATTTCACCCTTCTGTTCGAGCAGGCGATATTCGGCCTCGTCCCTGCGGTCGCGTTTCTCATCATTTCTCCTGTTCGACTACATATTCTCGCGAAATGCGATGTCCGAATCCAGTTTAACAAATTGAGATCTGCAAAACTGGTGAGAACTTCCACACCTTTACCTTGGAGGTCCAACTCATATCATAGCACAGATAACTATCGTCGTGTTTGCCGCAATCCAACTCGCCCTGCTCATTAGCTGGGCACAGAATGCTAAGCCTTTTACACATATCTCCGTGGCATCTGGCGCGATCAATCTTGCAGTGGCATTGGAGATTTTAGTCATATCGTGGATGGAGGATGAGCGATCAGTCAGACCGTCATCACTCCTCGCCATCTATCTTGTCCTCACGCTACTCTTCGACATTGTGCAGACCAGAACTCTCTGGTTATCCCGCGCTGGAAGTCTCATTCCCAGTCTATTTACGGCCAGTGTTGCTGCAAAGATGACGATGCTTCTTCTGGAGAGTCTGGGGAAGCAGAAGTACCTCACTGGTACGTATCGTGATCTGCCACCAGAGTCAACGAGTGGTATCTTGAACCGGTCCTTTCTGTGGTGGTTGAACCGTCTTTTCCATGCTGGTTTTCGATCTTTGCTCACTGTGGGGGATCTGGATGTTCTGGATAAGCCTCTGGAATCTGCGGGCGCGGCCGAGAAGGCGCGGCAAGCTTGGATCCAACGCCAGCACCCGGCACGCCGCTTCGAATTCCCAGTGCAGATGTGTCGGGCTCTCAGGGCCTCACTGGCACTAGTGGTATTTCCTCGACTGTGTTTGATAGGATTTACTTTTGCGCAACCCTTCCTGATCACTTCCATGCTTAACTGGCTTGATGATCCATCTACCGCGTTGAACGATGGCTACGGTCTTATCGGCGCCACTATTCTCATATACCTGGGCATGGCTCTTTCTACACTGTCGTATAACCACATGCTAAATCGGTTCACGACAATTTTCCGAGGGGCCGCTTCGTCGATGATCTATGACCATGCGTTGCGCATCCCCGATGGGGCACTAGAGGATCGTTCGGCCACAATTACTCTCATGACCACCGACATTGACCGGATTATCGATTGCCTAGTGACTTTGAATGAATGCTGGGCTCGTACTATTGAGGTCGCGATTGGCATTTCGCTGCTTGCTCTTCGTATGGGATGGGTTTGTCTGATGCCATTGATTATCGTGATCCGTGGGTATCCCAATCACTTAACATCACGCTACCGGTTGCTGATAATTTTGCATAGTATCTAGCCTAGGGAGCACATATATCTCGAAGAATATTGGGGGGCAGCAGAAAAATTGGGTTGATGCTGTTCAGCAGCGCATCGCAATCACCCGTTCAATGCTGGCTGATATCCAAACTGTTAAGCGGATAGGGTTGAGTAAGACCTTTCTTCATATCATACAGAACAAACGAGTCCAAGAAACTCATCAAATGGCCAAGTATCGATGGAGCATCGTTTGGCAAAACATGATCCAGAATCTACCATGGGCATTGGCACCAGCTTTGACCTTCACAGTCTACGCTGCTCAAGGAAAGGAACTTGATGTTAGCAAGACCCTCAGCAGTCTGTCAATTATAACACTTCTCACTAGCCCGGCCTCTAAGCTGCTTAGTGCGGTTCCTTCCACGGCGGCCGCTACGGGATGCTTTGATAGAATCCAATCATTTCTCATGGTGCCGACTGGTCAGCATCACCCAGATACAACTTCTATTACCACGGAAGAAACTCACATTCACATGAGCGATAGCTCTGGTGAGCTGCAACCCATATCATTCTTGAGCAGCGGCACTGCTGATCCTACATTCCCCGTCATATCTATGGAACGAGTCAATATCCGCCCAGTTACATCGGCAAAGATAGTACTGCGGGATATCAGCATCCAAGTTCCAGCTGGAAATCTAGTAATCATTCGGGGACCAGTGGGATCCGGGAAAACAACTCTGCTTCGGGCTATACTTAGCCAAGCAGTTTGCGAGAAAGGGGTAACTACAGTAAAAATCAAAAACCCGGCCCTTTGCGCGCAAATCCCCTGGATCCCGAGGGGCACCATCCGAGAAGCAATTTGCGGGGTAACTGCTACAGGATCAGTAACCACTCACGGTATTGACTGTGAATGGTATGCGGACGTTCTTCATGCATGTGCTCTGCTTCCAGACCTGGAATTGTTTCCTGAGGGTGATGCCACGCAAATCGGCAATGGATCCGGGAATAAGTTCAGCGGCGGTCAAATGCATCGAATTGCCCTTGCACGGGCTGTGTATGCCCGTAGGAAACTTTTGTTGTTAGATGATGTACTCAGTGCACTAGACCGGAAAACAAAGGCCATCATAATGGAGCGTCTCTTCGGAGGTGACGGACTTCTGCGAAGAACAATGTCGACCGTTGTGATGGTGACTCATGAGAGTAGGGCTCCCTTTAACAGCCCCGATGCCGCAAATCCCTAGTGTTGTGCACTGACAACTCGACAGTTGATTATCTATCTTATGCGGATCAAGTTCTGGCTCTTTCGGACGGGAATCTTCGCCGGGAAGAGGCCCGCGAGAGAACCGTCTACCAAGCTTTGCTACCCGATGCTGCAGCAGATGAGGGCTTGGAGGAAAGTACAAAGTCGATGATGAAAGAGAAAGCAGCCGAGATCTCTAAAGCGAATGATATTAATGATCTCAGAAGAGCAACGGGAGACTCGGCTGTTTATAGGTACTATTTGCGCTACATCGGCTGGACGAAGGCCATGATTTTTGTTTCCTTCGTGACTATCAATGTCTTCGCCAGTACATACGGCAGTACGTGAAACTTCATATTCCACTACTCCTTGCATGTCCACTGACATTGCTTTGCACATAGAGATCTTGCTTGAGCGGTGGGCTAACCGCGGCGGAGGTCAAAAGCCGTTATATGTCACAATATACTTCCTCCTCGCGATTTGCAACACTATCGGGAATGGTGGCTACGTTTGGTATGTTAAGAGGTCTCCATAGAGCCCAGTCATAAACAACCAATTGCTTACGACTTAAAAGGGCTATCTTGATCCTAATTTCGCCCGCAACGGCACGCCGCCTTCACTATGTCGTGCTGAGGACCGTTATTAGGTATGATGATTCTATCTTTTCGGGTCTTCGTCTGCTGATGATCTCTGAAGGGCGACACCGCAGTTCCTTTCAACAGTTGACAATGGGTCAATATTGAACCGATTCAGCCAAGACATGACCCTCGTAGAAAGTCAATTGCCTATCGGCGTGTTGATCACAGTTTCAAGTAAGTCTCGCTTCCCTAAATCTTTCACGACTTGTCCCATCCCTACCTTGATCTCGCTATGAGATCTATCGATTATCATGGGCACCCTTAAGTTTAGAGATATGCATGCTTATGATTAAAGATCTTTTCTCATCAATTGCTAGCGCTGCACTCATTGCTACGGGATCGGAATACATGGCTATCTCCCTCCCTTTCTTGATATTTGCTGTCTTTTTGCTACAGCATGTTTATCTAAAAACATCACGACAGCTCCGACTTCTGGACCTCGAAAGCAGAAGCCCACTGTACTCTCATTTCCTTGATACAGTCGAGGGCCTTGCTACAATTCAAGCATTTGGGTGGGAAGAAGACTTCCAGAACAAGAACTCAAGACTATTAGATGTCACCCAACGCACATACTATATGCTAAATTGCATCCAACGTTGGCTGAATCTGGTCCTGGATCTGATTGTTGCCGCAGAAGCGATTATTGTCGTTAGCCTAGCGGTATTTTTGAGGCAGAAAACTAGTGTGGGATTACTCGGAGTTTCACTAAACAGCATCCTCTGTAAGTCATGTCTGACCATGAAACTGTTCTTCATTCTCTTCATTCTTCTATCAAATGCTTCAACCTATCGTCTTTGCCTGTCTGACTAAACATCGTTAGCATTCAACGGAAGTCTCTCATCTTTAATATCGGGCTGGACACAACTTGAGATATCACTTGGTTCAATCTCACGAGTCAGAGATTTTGAAATGGAGGTTCCCAGCGAAGTCACAAGCGGAAAAACGGAACCACCTAGCGATTGGCCAGATCGGGGCGCAATTCACGTCTCGGAAGTTAGTGCACAGTACCAGTAAGAACTTTACAGACAAATGAGTATATTTCACCCAGGTCACTAAACTGAGATTGAACAGTCCGAAAGCTATTGCTTTGAAGAGTGTCTCTCTCGTGGCCTCTCCTGGTCAGAAGATCGGCATTTGTGGGCGCACTGGGAGGTAAGTTTCAGCTCTGCGTAATCTACCCGGTGAAATATTGAGGATCTGGCCTGACCCTTCCGTCATGAGAAATTAGTGGAAAGAGCTCCCTATTATCCGCAATTTTGGGCATGCTCACTATCACGAATGGATCAATTCTGATCGACAACGTCGATCTTGCCACCCTCCAACCTGAAAGGGTCAGAGAAAGGATCGTCACCATTCCTCAGGATCCATTCATTATGGTGGGCTGTACAGTCAGGTTGAACACAGACCCCACAGGAAAGTTCCCCGATGCAGATATCTTCGCGGCCCTAGACCGAGTAGGGATTTGGAAGGGCGTGTTGGATGACAGGGGTGGACTGGACGCTGAGATAACTAATACTTTATCTCTATCGAGAGGCCAACAACAATTGCTGGAGCTTGCCCGTGCAATACTGAAGATACAGGCGAGCAACGCCAAGATCCTGCTGATCGATGAAGCAACTAGCGGTGTCGACATGGAAACGGACGCTCATGTTCAGGCCCTTCTGCGACGCGAGCCGTTTCATTCATGCACGGTGCTTACTGTGGCACACCGTGTCCATACGCTCATGGATCATGATTTAGTCCTCGTTCTAGATCAGGGAAAGGTGATAGAGATGGATGGGCCCGGGAAACTTGCTGGCCGGAAAGATAGTATCTTTAGCAGCCTTCTCAACAGCCAGGCATATTGATCGAGACCTCCCCATTGGATCCGAAGAATGGCTCAGATTTTCAAATGAATTGAACTATTCATCAAATTGGAATTCTTGTGAACTAACGCCAAGCCAAATGCGAATTTCTTCCAAGGCGTTCAAGTCATTCTCTAGAAGAGACTTCTGAATTTTGTCATCGTACCATTCGTAGGTACGGCCCACATTTTCTAAGCTCTCTCCTAGCTTCCGGCAAGATCCAAAATCGATGATGATTGCTCTCTCCTCATCGATCATTATGTTGCTTGGATTGATATCGTTATGAACCAACCCCAACGAGTGAAGGTGCTGAATGCCATTTTCAATGCCCGTGAGGAAATGACTGTATTCCCCCTTCGCTTTCCGCATGTTTCTAAGTGCTCTCTTTTTGAGACCGCCCGGGTTGACCTCTTTCATCAAGGTATGAGGGTATTTCTTAAGGCAAAGTCCCGTGATTGTGCCGTCAGAAACTTGACAACCGAGGTAGGTAGCAATGTTGGGATGTGGGTGTAACGTTAAGAGTTCGTAAATCCTTGCTTCCCTGAGGATATCTTCTGCAATCAAATTCGGTTGAGGTCCTACACTAATCCGATCGTAATTGATCAATTGGGGTTTTTTGACATGACAACCGTTAGGTAGGGATCCAGGCGATAGCGTAAATCCGACAGGAAATTTGGGATTGTAGGCCGACGCAGGAATTTGCTTAACGTTCATAAGGTCCTCTGCATTGACAATCGAAGGAGAAGAGCAACGGCCTTTCAGCTTTGCATGGTACAAAAGGCCCTTTATTTGATACACAACGAGAGTCCCTGCGAACTGGAACCCACAACCTGAGTCTTCGTAGGTCTCTCTAATCTCCAGTATCTGCAGTTCCTGGTTAACGATTGGCAGAGTCGACATTCTGGAACGCACTATGCAGTGTCAATGGTTGAGATATACCAAAAGCAAATAATCACTCACATCGTGGTTATTCGAGGGAGAAGGGCGAATTATTTTCTGAAAAGGCAGATGTAGAAAGGAAGACGCACAACCCAACCAGTTGCACCTTTATAAGTGAACAAAATTGCTCTGTCAGACCGCTGGTATGGCAAATGACAGTGGTCTGTGCACCCCTTGGTCCAGTTAAAAGCCGCCGTAAATACGCAACACGCTGGTTGTCTGCATTAACTTGAGAGATATCGTAATGTGCCGCTCGTACGGTACATTAAACAATAGAGGGACCTAGTGTCCACGAGACTTGTCGTGTAACACGATGTAGTAAGATACAGAACTATACGTGGTGCGTCTTTCTGACTTTCTGAGACCGATGATAGATCTTAGTGGTGGGTCTAGAGATGATCAAGTGTATTCAAGCTTATTTCAGGAATGACCCACTCCTCGGCAAACGATCTTAGTGTTGACGTCATAGTATTCAAGACTTCTTAATGACAGATGGAGTAGAATTGATATATGGTAGAATCGAGTTGAACTTGGCCTACATGTAGCTACATCAATCATGGGGTTTCCAGATCTTCAACCAATCTTGCAAAGTCTTCTGGATTCAGGTAGATATTCAGACCTGACGATATCATGCGAAGGACAGAAGTTCCAGGTACATCGTGCGATAGTCTGTTCACAATCGCCCTTTTTTGACGCTGCAGTCAAAGGAGGATTCAAAGTAATGTGACAAGCCTTTGCCGTGATCGCTGCATATGGCTAACTTTTTTACAAGGAAGCCTCTCTATCACATGTTGATCTACCAGATGATGAGCTTGCAACTATTCAACGGGTTGTCTCTTTTCTATACCACCAAGACTACGAAGACACAGATGGCTCGTACTTTCAAAATCGGAAGTGCGCTTCTGGTAATGATATGGAACCTCATGCAGCTATGTGGAACAACCTCGGAGTGTTCATGGCAGCCGACAAGTTTGACATTTCGCGTCTGAAAATCCTTGCGAGATCTCGAATTATGAATTGGATCTACGAAAACGCAAGGGGATTTCCATTGATTGTGCAACAAATTTGGATCACCATTCCGCCTCTTGAGACCGAGATTCGAGACGCCATAATTAAGTCAATCTCATGCGATGCGCAGGAGTTCCTCGCCTACGATGAAAGTATGGTGATTATGACAGATATACCAGATATTACCATTGCTGTACTTAAGAAAATTGCGGAGGAAAATTCTTCACTCAAACTCAAACTTCAACTTCAACGGCAGAGGAAAACTGCCTCGATGTGGTGACTGGACGCAGAGGGTGGGTTTTGATATGTACGTATACTATACATACATTTCCACTTGCACTTGCAAGACATGATCACGTCACCTTAAATATATGTCAATTCTCAATGATCATCAAAAGTCCACCGGCTCTACCTGAAAAAGACTTAATGTCCCAGCTTCAGCGGCCCGGACTCCCGAAGAGGGGAGAATGCAATCAATAATAGTACTATGATTCTGCTTGAGGTGATCCCGTATGGATTCATGGTAATGCTTATTGGGTGTCCGAATAGCAAGCTCCATTATGCGAATAATTGCAGTCATTTTACCAGGATTGAAGATCACATTGAAATGCCATGCCATCTAAAAGTGGAGGGCTGCACGTGAGCAGACCTGAGTGCTTATGTAATGCTCAGGGGCGTGCTCAGTTGTACTCAGTTAGCAAAAAGCGGCAAGGTCTGAGCACTAAAACAGAAAGGGGACGTCAAGAAGTGGCAGAGGAAATCCGCTATATAGGTACAACCTTCCAAAGCTGGAATAAAAGAATCCCACATAATCACTAACCCCGGACCCTTGGCAGCAGCGCACGCGAGGAGTTTCCACCCGACGCATCCAGCAATAGTCTAGAAGGGTTCTCTCAAAGTCTAGCCGGGATGTGACCATATGCAGTGTGCTAACTATAGTGTTTAGCTAGTAACTAACTATAATAATACAATACCTAAACCCTTGCAATCACATTTACCCGGTAGTAAAAGCAATACTAGCACGAATACACGCATTACAGGCTGAAACCAATCCGAAACACTAGCCCCAACAAGGCAAAACCGCCGTTCTTGCATGCCGGAAAGTTTGTGGAGTCCGTCGTAATCCCGCCGTGCGCTAGACAGGGGCATTGGTGTCTCGATTGGTGTCGTCCTTGGTATTGGTGGTGTTACACTACTAGGCACGGAGCACGGAGTACGCCGTAGGTAGTAGTCTGTGTGGGACCGTTGTTTTTTTCTGCGCGCATGCGCTATTTTAGCGTGGATAGTGTTTTATGTACTCCGCACACGGCCGGGCAGTTCCAGAACTGTTGTTTTGGTGGAATTGGATCATGGATTCAGGATCACGCTCGCGGCATACCGATGTGGGGACGCCATTGAATTGCCGTTGTTGGGACTGAGATTGAGATTAAGATAGCAATAAGGGACTAGACTCGTTCTTCGGTATGTCAATGTCAAAGTGTAGTAAATGTGGAGTCAAAATAGATTAGAACGTGATTATATAGTATACCAAGTATACCAAGTGGAATCAAGTAGAAATAGACATCATACATCATTGATACACGTGGAAATTGCTAAAATCACCTAACGCCTGACTCAAAATAGTGACATCTCCTGTAACACCGTGTCTCAGGAAAAACCTAGAATATCCCCATTCTTTTTAGACCTCTTATCTTTTAGAAACAGGAGGCCAAAATCAGAACAGCATAGAATACACGGTAAATATTTTTGAGCATTAGAAAATGAAGGCAAATCATAAAAACGTATTTCAGTAACATTACACTCGGTCTTGCCCGTACGCAGGCGCAAACGAAGACTTGGGATCCCACTCGCGCGCACTAGGCGGCCTAGGCCCGGAAAAGCTCAAGGAGGGACGCACATAGCGGGCCTCGCGAGCGACATGCATATTGCGCTCGGCGCTGGGGCTGGGGCTGGTCGGACTGCGGCCGTATCCAGTCTGTGTAGGGCTCGAGGGCATGGGAGCGTTACTTCCCATTTGTGTAGGGCTCGGTGAGCGCATGAAAGCACTGCGGTCAGGCTTGCCTATTCGGGAAGGGCTTGGCGATCGCATGAACGTATCGGGTGATTTGACAGATGTAGTCAGCATTTCGAAGCCCTTGTTGTCAGCGAAGCGGGTGTTCGCATCCACAGAGACAAACTCGTTGCGGTGTGTCACTTTGCGGTGGAAAAGATCCAGCCAGCCGGCGAACATGGATGGACGGGCGAAGAGGATGAAGTTCCAGAAGCCGACGAGGGAGAGCAGAAACACGACTGCTAGTAAGGTTGCTTCGTTGGGGCCGATGGCTGCGGCGTATTCGCGGCAGAGATTCTTATCGCCGGTTTCGGCGAGGCACATTAGCCAGGGGCCTGCGATTTTGACGTTTTCTGCCGTTGGCGCGACGGCATTATCGAGGCCGATGAAGACGACTGCGAAGAAAATGACGTTGCCGAGGATGATTGATGTGAGGGCGATGCCGCGCCATTGGAGTTTAAGGACGCGGCGTACACGCCGGTAGGCCTGTCGGGCTGTTACGGTGCCGATGCTGGCTGAGTAGGAAGGAAGATTTGCGCCGGAGCTGCCTGATGTTGAGGCAGATTTGTCGAAAAGAGAGCGGAGGTAGATATGGGTGCAGTAGATCATTGTTGATAGTTGGAGGAAGAGAGATGCGGCGGCGATGACCATGATTGGGATCCAGTAGTCGTAGAGTCCGTTGGTTACGTTGATGTGGCAGACATCGCCGAATCGGAAAGACACTCCGGTTAGGACCAGCATAATTGTCAGTCCAATTGCTGGGATTCCGAATCCACAGACAAGGGCTGTCCACATGAACTTCAGTCCCAGGACTCTTTCCCAGCATACTTGCAGGTGGAAGGCGAGTGTACGGATGAAACTCCATATTACCACTACCCAGCCTCCGAATAACAACAAGGATCCAGAAAAGGCGCAGGAAAGATCGGAGCGCATGTCATTGGGGGTGATTGAATTATAGCATTGGTCTGGTTTGGCACCGAGGGGGATGATGAAGGCGAGCTGGACTAGAGTTAGCCATAAAGGTCTTCCTAGCGCATGCCGGCATTCAACTTACCTCCATGCAACAAATGCCCAGTGTAAAGCAAATGCTCAAATAATGGCGGTGCGTCCATTTGGCAGGTAGTACAGCGTAGGAAATCAGCAAGAAGATACAAAGAGGGAGAATGGCGACGCTGATCCAACTCGTGACGCTGATTTTATCGGCCAAGTCTATACAACCTTAGATTTTATTAATGGGCCAAAAATCACAGAAACATACCAGTGTCATATCTCCACTCGGCGAGAGGACATGGCAAGCAACAGGAATAAGTGCTGTTGCCGAGAGTCACCTGCTTGCAGTAGCGGCCATCGATAAATCCCCCGACGGTGGGGAATAGCGTCTCCTGCAAGAACGGGACCGGGCAATGTCCATTTAGGGCGTGCACCATGATGGCGAGATATGCATGTCCTGCGCGAGTTCCTAACGCGCCAGCGCGATATCGCCAAGGAATCGTATATATAAGTATCCGAGAGCGAAGGGGAGTAGAGAAGTGAGGAGCAAATGGGGGTATGCAGTGTAATTTGTATGTACGTCCTGATACAACGTGATAGTCTGGATGGCCCGTTCTTCGCCCCACACACACGAGGCACTAGGACCAAGTCGACCCACGGTCCTCGCAAACTCAATTCGGTCTTGGCACGGTGGTTTAGCGGGGATAAAATACAGTGACAATACAAGAACATTCGGGATATCGCAAATCTCATTATATTCTAGTGTTTTAGTTAACTAGTTATAATATTCCATAACTATACAATAAGACAACAAGACAATGCTAATGTTGAATGATATAAATACACAACTATGCAAATTGCGGAGCTGAGCTCAAGAAGCCCTGTCCAACCACTTCCCTCCTCATCCTGATTCGATTGCCTTTTTACCCCTGGACATCAAAGTCTGTCTATTGTATGTAGCACAGAGGGGTCAGAGGGGCCAGAGTGGTCAGTGTCACCAACAATAGCACTCCTCCCCGAGAGCCCACGCGTTAAGCCACCCAATCATTACGACTAATGCATCTCCCGCTGTGATCACTACCGGCATTCGTCGTACATGAGTCCAATCGGATGCTAAGAGACCACCGTATGATATTTCTGTACTCTGTATGCAGCCAGCCGATCTATCACAATGAAATGGTCAACGAGGTGATTGAAATGCATCCAAGTACTTTGTAAAAGTCTCGAATCCCCACGCTAACCCGTTCATATCCCGACCCTCCTGTAGATCTTATTTAAGGATAGATTAGCTGGCCTATTCGCTTTCACTAGACATATATAGTCTATGATCTACATCCTGCGGAAATACGTTCATGATATGCACGGACAAAGTAGCTGGTTCTAGCTCAAATCACACCGGCGTCCTCTTGTCATCATCACACTTAGCGCTATTCACGGACCCCCCGACCGTTAAGCCAGTTAAAAACACCTTTGCATCTTGGTCTTTCGCGTTTTCTCACGATCATCCACTTATTGAGTGATATTCAACGCCGAACTCAAGCACAGCCCAATATTCACATCAAATCACAGACCTCCCTCCACCTGTAGTTCTTGCCACCTTGATTTTTACCAGGGCTCTTTTATACGTGATTTCGGCCTTTGGCGTAGTTGAATCCTAGCTCTAAGCCCAATCTGACTCGCTGCTTTTCCCGTCCGCATCGACCCACTGGCTCGTGGTGAAACCGAAGAAAAGACAGAAAAAGAACCCACAGGTCAGAATAGTCTTCACGCTAGAGAGATTACCCTCATTTTGCCGAAATACAAATCGGGTAGGTAACTGCTACCATCAAAAGCAAGAAGAAATATCTCCTGATCCCCCCACTTCGTATTCTTCCCAACCTAAGTAGAGCAAGTAAACCACCCAACCACTTAACAAACATCAAACATACAAGCTTAATATTATCTCTGTTGAATTTGCGCTTACATTGAGATGCCATTGCGCTACCACACCCCTTGAAATTCTAAATAATATAGATGAAGTCCAGGCTCATCGCAAAACCAAGTCCAAGCAAGCCGAGCTCAAACAAAATCTCTCAACAAAATCTCCAACTTCGCCCATAGCGACAAACATGAATCCGCTATAAATCCCTCTTTCCCCATTCTGCACCGCTAAACTTTCCGTTCTCTATTCTCTATGTTGTATGTTGTATTCCGAACCAATCCCTAGAATCCTACCCATCATGAATCATGCACGGAATAGCCGATACTAGTAACCCGATATATTCCTGCACGTACGGAGTAGATCCTGAATAATGTCGGATCTGGGGTGTCCTGGTTCGGATAAGTTGCCTCCCGGAACCTAAGAAGAGTAAATCGGTGGGGGTAAGTGGATTCGGTGACACCATGGTCAACGGAAAACCTGCAGCGTTGAGGTTGGGGTTTGGATTAGGGCTGGATGGGATTGCGGTTGTTGGAGATTGGTGTGTTAGTTAACTAGTAAGTTAGTGGGTGTTTATTTTTTTTTCATGATTAGATTAGTTAGAGCTAGAGAACAATCAAGTAAGTAATATAGAGTATATAATCTCAAATGAACACGCCTGGATTCTGATAATATGTATACCACGTTTAGTGTCTCATTCCAGAGGCAACTAAACCGAACTTGCAGAATCAAACAAGGAAAGGCTCTCACCCTAAATCTAACGAGATTTCTGGTTTTCTTTTTCTTTAGAATCCATTTGTCCACTCTATGGCTATACTGCCTATGTTGCAGTGTGAGAGTACACCTGTACTATACTATGATTACTATAAGAGGTACACGGGTATCATAAACAATCATTACTCGTGTCTCTGGCATTCGTCACACCACGTGAGAGGGCACATCCCCTAATGAGTGACGGGAATTCCCGGTCGCTTGTCGCTTGACAAGTCATTTTCAGCATGGCATGTGGTCGTGACAAGACTGGAATGCATGGCCGCAATTCGACATGAGCCGAGATATTACTCTGCAAATACCACTTCACTCCAGTACCCTCGGATGATTTCATCGGCTCCAATACAGGACCGACCAAAGAGGGACTGGGTACTATACAATGAACGTGGTTGCTGAGCCCGCGCCAAGCCTCAACCCGGACACTATGCCTAGTTCCTAGGCTGGAGACCTTGTTCAGTCTTCATGTCTCAAGAACAAGAGGAACCAGGCGAACGGGTCGAATTCTCATCCCACCCCCACTCCTTGAGCAATTGCTGTACACGGTACTCAGTCGCCCAGCCTAAATCCGACTCGATACTCCTCAGCAGACGCACAGTAGTGCGGCGCTCACGCGGGTCCGTCAGGCACTGTCCGCTAACAAATAGCGGCTGCAGCGAGTTGATCCTGACGCTTCCATCCGGGCGGGAGAGACCGATACCCACGATCTCACGGCTGTGGAATGCGATCTCAGACTCGATAGAGCGGTATGACTGGAGACGGAGCGTTATGGTGCTGCGTCGGCTGGTGGACTCGTGCGGCTTGTTGATGAGAAGCAGGATGCGCGCCATGTGGTAATGCTGCATGGCAGAGGCGCACATCGGAAGGCTGTACCAGATTTCCTGGAGGGTGGAGATGTCTTCGTGTTCGTCGGGCGGCCGGTGGTGTGTGAGATTGGATGCGTCGATTCGTGCGCAGGGCCGGAATGTCTCTGGGATCCCGGTGTACCATGCGTCGAGCTCGGATTCAAGCCTGTACCACCGCTCCAGAAGGGCTTGTTGCGAGACGCCCAAGGGTCCTGGCACGGATCCGCTTATGTGCAGGTTGTCGCCAGAGCTTATGAAATTGACTATCTTGGACATTATCCACACTAGTCCGTTGCTGATTAAGTCTTCTTTCATTACATCTTCACCTTCCGGATATCCTGCTGCGCTTGTGTTGCTAGCGCGTACAAAGCCAGCGTTGTCGAGGAGTAGACCTGCTTCGGTCCAGAGGACTGTATCGTCTGTGTTGAGCCGTGTATGGCATTCGTTGATGACTTTGTTTCTGTCAGCGAAGTTTGGAGGGGAGGGGAAGCGACAGACAACACTCACAGGCAGCTAAGTAGTCCTGCCGCGCAAAATTCCAAAACGTTGCCTTCCGAGCCTTGGAAAGACCCGACTTCTTAGGCGTCTGCGTCTGATATGAGCTCTCTCCCGGAGACGGACGCTGCTCAAGAGGCATCATGCCCACTTCAGCGACATCAAGCAACGACTTCACGCCACTCAAATGACGATTCCACGCGGGGCCTGCGGCATCGAGGAACTCATAGACAGACAGAATGGCCGTCGCCGCGAGCACCTCGTCGGAATGAACCCCATGCGAGAGCCGACTATCAGAAACCCGTCTGCGGCGCTTACGTGGGTTATCCGAATCTACAGAAATCTCGGCAGCCTGCCATTGACCGAAAGCCTCGGGGGTGCTCAGTGGAGGTGGACCCTCTGCGTCAGGTTGCAGCTCTTTCATTAGCAGCTGGATGGCCTTTTCATAATATTTGGCCCCATACCATGCGAAGTCGGGGTCTTTGTCAGGCCACAGTTCCATGGCAGACTGCTGGGTGCAGACTCCGCCCACCGATGCCTTGGCACCTTTGACTCGGCCCAGCTGTTTGGCGGAATATGCGCAGGCGGCGAATTTCAAGAGCGGGTTGGTTCTTGCTCGCACTGGGACGTATGAAGCGAAATATGTCCCTAGGTCAAAGAGATCCATCCTGCAGATATCATTATTACTGATGGTTCCACGTTAACAGCTGGTAGGAAACATACCACAGTCCCGGTCCTTCTGAGTAATGCCGCAGAAGAAAAGCGGTCTCGAAATCGGTCTCTGAATTGTCGTCTGTTGTGTGATTGACAAGGCTCATGTGACTCATGTGACTCAAGCTTCTCTGTGAAGCTACCGGTCTTGATGGAAGCGCATTGTTCCGGTCAGATATCTGCATACTTGGGTCGATGGATGGGGACATCGAATGCGCGGGATTGAGGAGGAAATTAATGTTGGTATTGTTGCTGGTGGACGACAGCGATATGGAGGGTGAAGCCGGGGTGATAGCGGCACTCCGCTGCGGGTTTGGGGAGGTATAGGAGGTACTATCCGAGATCGAATGGTCCAAGGGAGAATAAGGGAAGCGATCGTGTGTTGCGACCGCCGACAAGGCTTCCAACCCCTGTGTCTCGGCATCGCTCGCTCGAGAGCCTCCACTGCCCCATCTGTGATTCGGAGAGTTTGTTTGCGCTGCGCTGCCCGGGTCTAGTAATGAGGCCTCGATGTCGTCGGCGTATGGATCGGAGTTGTCGACGAAGATCACTGCAGAGGATATGAGCTACCGTCCAAAAAGGGTCCAGACCTAAACAACATGTCTCATTGGTGCCGTACCCTGTTTGGGAACATCCAGCCAAACGCTATCCTTGTCAAAGGTGTTCTTATATGAATAGAACCCGTTGAGACTACCACGACCGTCTGGGGAGTTCCGGTTCATCGAGGCGTTCTGTTGATGGCGGAAAACCACTCCTTCGCTCGGACGACATTCTCGGCCCCCTTTGCGACATTGTGAACATTCGGGCTTTTCTTCATCACCTATAAATTATTTTAGTCACCAGAAAATGGAACGGCCGGGATAACCGATTCCTACATTTAAGCTTTCGTGTTCGACACGTTAAGCTAGGTCGTGTTAGCCATGTATCACGCTAGTTGGATATGCACTTACCAGCCGGTTCGTGATCGCATACCGAAATCACATGAAGGCGATGCGGTAGCAACATGCGAAGTAAAGAAAGTGATCGGGGTTGGGGAAACGAAAACCTGGAGATCAACCTGCGGGGAGGGAACAGGTGACCTGGGGCCCCCACACAAATAACCGGACTCAGACAGGCTGTGCTCCCGAGGTCAGGTGCTCAGGTGTGGATTGGTATATTAAAGGAGAATTGGCCGATGCTTTGTGATATAATTAGACATTGCCACTTAGCATAGCATAGTATAACTATAGTTACGTGTTTTTGGAGAATATTTCCATCAGCAAAAGGGTATTGTATTAATTGTCGTGTCCACGAACGAAGCGTGGCTATCTACACATCTCCAACCTCCCTAGCAACGCACATCCACTCAAGTAAGAAATAAATCGCTGGAAAGCATATGGTACATCAACACAGAGACATATTCACAAAGGAGCTTTGATAAACTGTATCGGCCACATGTGCCAGGAGCCAGGAAATAAAAGAATTTGAAGATAAATCGCGATATGGCCGGCGCGAAAACAAACACAGACATTAAAGACGGTTGGGTATAGCAACGTTGCTTAAGATAAAAAGAAACAAAACAGAAAAGAAAAGAACAAAACAAAACAAAACAAAACGCCGGCCTCGAAGGTCAAGGGGTTTTGGAGCGAAAAAGGGCATTAAAGGACCGGGGCACCAGGGTTGGGATGGTGCAGCGAGTTGAAGAGATACTCGGGCGGCAGGCGCTGCATGTCGGATGGTCGATCGGTGCCGAAGGTTTGAGGGGCAGCTGCGTAGCCCTGGCGGCGGCGCTGTACCTTATTAAGGATGACACCGGCTAGTACGATGAGGAAGACGCAGCCCAGAGCACAGCAGAAAGCCACCAAGACTGCGATGCCATTGGAGTGATGTTTTGCTAGGTTGTCAAAGTCAGTATTGATTCCTGTCAAGAACGAAAGGTCAAGTAAACTCACTGGTGGTGGTGTAAGGGTTTTTGTTCTCGGATAAGAACTTCGACATGCTGCCCGGTCGGCCATCAGCCTGCTGGGAAAGGATAAATGGAGTGATATCGGTTCCGTTGTAGAGCGCCGCTGATGCATGTCCGAAGTTCGGGATCACAAGCGAACCCATGATCAACAACGTCTGATCGTTATTCAACAGAGCAGCCGCAGAATGGTCGTGGCTGACAGGGAGAATCTCTAAACCACGAATGACCGTGCCCTCGGAGAAAAGATTACCGGGGGATAGGAACTCGGAACCATCGTAGCTCAAGAAGAAGGCCGAGCCATTGGCCGCAGTACCTCCGATCCAGAATTTTGACAAATCCGAGCTAGCAGCTGTAAACGTAGTGACATTTCCGGGCAAATCTGACTCGGATGCTCCAGAGAAAGAGGTCCATGTTTCGGATTTCGCGTTGTAGAGAGCAATCGAGGTCTTGTTGCCACCGACCTGAAGGTCGCCCACAGCCATCAGCGTCTTTTGACTGGCCCAGTGAAGGTCAATCACGGAGCCGCTTAGGGACGAGCCAGGTTGATCCCATTCACCGGTGGTGGCATCCACGTAGCAGACAGAATTACATGGGAACTGCCCTACACCTTCGAAGTTTCCTCCAAAGTAGACTTCAGATGAATCCGGTCGATTGACGACAGCATTGACTGAGACATTCCAGCCCGAGAAAGCCGGCTGAGTCTGTGCGAACTCGTTCTTTTCCAGGTCGTAAACCACAAGACCCCGCAGACTGGTGCGACCGATGTTTCCGGTAACATTTCCACCTGCATAGAGGGTGTCGTTGTACACAAGCATTGAAACAAACGTTGAGTTACTGTCGACGCCTTGCGGCAGACCTGAGATCTTCTCATCGGTGCCGTTGAGGATGGCAATATTTTCAATGGTTGATCCATTGCTGCCAGCGGCAGCGAAATGCCCACCGTAGATAGTGAGATTGCGGTTCGAACTGGTATCATAAGCACCGGTGATCAGACCCGTGCTTGAATTTTTGTGGTTGATCTTCATCGACAGAGGAATCAGTTGCAAATCATCAGGATTTAGCAGTGACACCGCACCACCAGCGATGATACCATTGGTGGCAAGGTCACCTGCCAAGATGAGCGTATTGTTGTGCGAAGCGACACTTGAGAGTTGACCACCGAACTGCATCTGTGTAACATTAAGGTTCTGGAGCCAGTCCTTGCGGGAGGGGACCCATATGGCGAACCCAGCAACAGATACCGCGGGATTCCCGTTGAAAGCAATGATCTGGTCAAAGTCGCCGCTCACAGCAAGGATGGTTTCATTGATAGCAGTTGATGCATTCAATCCAACAGGCCAAATCGAATTGACAGGACCGTTCAGCCCTGCTCCCAGGGCCGACCATTCTTTGGAAGAGTATGAGTATGCCGCAACGTGTTGAAGGCCCGTTGAACCTGCGTCTGAGGTATCGGTGAAGCGACCTCCAACATACAGGAAATTGTCAAGGGTGGCCATTGCTAGTACTGGAGAGTTCAACCCAGAGCCGGGCATTGCTGTGACATTGCCATCCGTGATCGACATGACGTGGTGGATCTTGCTGTCAGAGAAGTTACCAGCGACATAGATCACATCATCATGCTCCTTCATTATTGAGATGGTTGCGTTGTGGTCAAGTGAAGTCCCCGCCTTGTTAATGTCGGACTTTGTAAGATTTGAGGTTTCAGTAGTGTTTGAGGTCGGATCATAATCGTATAATCCATTGAGACCCCCAGTGCTCTTAGTGCTCTTAGTGCTCTTATTGCTGGAAAGTAGTTCAAAACGGACACGAGACGCCACAATGGTGATATCTCCTTGGCCGTCCTTGGCCCGCACGGTAACCTTTGGTCGGAAGGAGTCACTGTTGGCGTCAACATACCCAGTGTAGAATGTGTCATACTTGTCGTATAGGTTGGTCTGGTAGAAATATGACGGATCGGGCTGGCCCGAGTCAGATCCATTCGTGAGTGTAGCCGTGACATTAACAATACCCCGTGAGCTGCAAGAGTTGTCCTGGGTACAGCCGGGAGTATATAGCTTGATGGTATAGTTGCCAGACTCTTTCACGTCAGGCTCAAATGTGACGGATGTGGTCGAGGCATTAGAGTTGGTCACCTTCGCAGACACATACCCAGACTCGACAGTCCAAGAGCCGGTGCGCGTTGACTTGGCGGGGTATTCAATGCCTGAGCATGTTGGTTCATTGTATTGATCGACAGCGTATGTGAGGATTTGATCCTGGAAGACCTCAATGCCGTTCAGGCCAGCTCCTTGTCCGTACCAACTAAGCACCTCAATCTGGAATCCTCGCATACCAACGGGATTAACCATGGTAAATTCACGGTATGTTTCATTCGTGCTGCTAGAAAGCGGGCAGGACGAGTCACAGCTGCTCTTTTTCCTGACTCATCGGTGTAAGTCAGATTCATGATACCAGTGTCGGGGAGCGCTCGAAGTAAAAAGTCCTTGGTGCCGCGTCCATCTAAGTGAGTGTTGTACAGGCGAATTTTAGTCGGAAAAAAGTCGAACCCGAGGTCTGCTCTCCAAAATCCCGGCGCATAGTCGTGTAGAAGATAGGTCTTGCCTTTAGCCGCCACACCGGTTGTCGAGCAAATGATGTTACGAGGATCGGAGTAGCCGTCCAAGGAAGAGTCTGCATCGGATGTGACGGTCGCATTTTGAAGGTTGAGGATTTGTCTTTCGTTTGAGGAGCTGGTGCTGTTGCGAGTGCTGTTGCTGGTGCTGTTTCCCAGGGCATCGAATGATCCTCCAAAGATGATATGGCCGTTGTCAGCTTTCAAAATCGAGCTGACAGGGCCATTCAGGCCATTGAACGGGAGATTGGTCCAGCCATCGTCGGGCGCCCACGCGATGGCGTTAGTCGTGTTGTCGTGGGTGAATTTTCCTCCAATGTAGACGCGGTTAGTGTTCTGATCGCAAGTCACGGCTGCTACCGAGCCCGAAAGGCCCGGCAAGGCAGTAACTTTGCTGGTATTCGGGTCGAAGAGAGCAGCACCGGGCGAATCTACTCCGCCTAGGCTGGTGAAGTTACCCCCAACAAATATACCTGCGAAAGATCCATCCTTTTTGGTAAAGGGGCACATTGCCATGATATGCGCATTGGTGGACGAGAGATTCGTGAGAATGCCGTTCGGTAGTGGGGTCAGAAGGCCTTGGGTGCCATCGGGAATCGATTCGGTCTGTTCCTTATATTGATAGAGGGAAACGCCATCGAAATCACCAGTGATTGATACCCGTCCCAGCGAGCTGAGGTCCAGTTCCGGGATGGAGACTGACTCGAATGACAGGGCGTTGAGAGTCGGTAAAAGCGCGAGGAGCGAAGGCCAGCCGGCCGTCGCGGGCCCAAACAATGAAGAGATCCTCATTGTAGTGGGAGCGACGACGGGCAATAGAAGTGTAGTTGGCCAGTTGAAATGGCTGGAATGGCTGAAGCGAGTGTGGGAAGACTAGACAGGGTTGTGCAGTCTAAGGAATTCAGGGAGGCCGTCAGGCCGCAACGCGTGGAGAAAAGAAAATTGATAAGGAATGTGGCATGGGAAAAAAGAGCTTAAAAGCAAAGGAATGTAAATGAATGAATCATGCTCGAGACTGAAGCCTCACTGCATTTGAATAACAACGAATGACTGAATATGAAGGTGAAGGGAACCCAGGGGAAGGTCCAGCTTGTTTTTGAAATTGAAACGGCGATACTTCAAATTACACCTCCATACACCTCCCAAATTAAAAATACAAGGACCACCACGCTAATGCACCTCACAGCTCACGAACAACCAATGAGGAGGGCGATTGCCAGCCTCCCGTTTAAATAGTGGAGCCCTATAGACCGTGGATGTGTGATATCAAAGGTCCTGATGCTGTTGACAAGGATAGTATTAAGTACTAATGGAAAGGGAACGGCTGCAATTGAGGCTTCCATTGTAGGTCCAATACCCTCAGGTTTATGCGTATAATAGTCTACTCACAATTATAAAGGCAAGGGGAATCTCCGTCGTACGACTAATTTGCCGGTAATGACGATCATGTACGGAGTATACATACAAAATACATAGTTTAGCACTGCCCTTATTGTCTATGAAGTCACATCCCCTTGAAGTCCCTTTTGATACCAAAGTATTCCCTGATATCAATTGTTTCTGTACCTATCTACAATGTGTCCATCTGTATATGTACATCGATATGGATTAATATAGTCTTATAATACTACAACGTTGAGCTAGATCACCAAGTGGATCCTGATGTTTTGTCGCAGAAATGCTCCAGAGCCCCGTGTTGTTTCGCTTAAATATAGAATTAGGCTCCACGATCTACGCATGCCTCTGGGGCATACGGAGTACGTACTAGATAATTAGTTCCGTCGCGGTCCATTAGGTGACATAATTGACAGGGTTGATGTCTGTATAATCTATACTAGGAAGTGTAGTATAGGTTGTAGGTCCATAGGTATATAGTTCGTGTCATAACAGAGGTAGTGACTTTGAAGGATGTTATACTTGATAGAAAAGGGAATAATGTTGTACTTGTTTCATCCAGATCTGACACCTAGGTTTGGGAGATTTCAGGTTGAATATATTGTATGCTTTGTTTCAAACAACCTGTGAGTCGGCTAGGCATTTAACCTAACTACTTCATCATCAACTGCTTGGGCCTAACTAATATAAACTCAAGAAACGGGAAGGAATCTTATTAGAAGAATCATCTTACCCCTTGAGATATCTCTTCCCCTTGTCAATCAGTTAGCTTGATACTGTTGCTGTTTACTGTTTACTCAAACTGCAAAATATAAAGCTAAAAGCGCTGAATTGACTAACATACGGACAGGCGGCGAACAACCAAATGTCCCAAACACTAAGAAAATAATGAAATGAGCGGGTAATAGGGCACACAGAAAAGCGGCAAGACAAGATATGGCGTAGCAAAAAGTACATCACAAGAAGTGAAAGGTCCCAGGCTGACCCTCGCAGGATCGTATTATCAATCAATCGGTAAGAAGAAAAACCCCCATTCTTTTTTCGGTGCGTGGACCCATCCAGAGTAAGCAGTTGCGTTATGGGATGGTAAGGGAGTGTGATGGGTGACAAGTGTAAGGGAAAAAAGGGAACGAGAGTAGGATCAGTTGCCAAAAGTATAGGCAGAAGCAAAAGCAATGGCAGGGACATGGACATTAGCGAAGCGAGAAGCCCTTTCGCTTGCCCTTCTCTTCGACGGGACGTCCAGTCTCGAGGCGACCCTTCTTCTCCTCGAGTTCTCCACGCTGGCGATCTAGCTGATCCTTCATCTCGCGATGTCGGGCATAGAGTTCGTCTTCGCTCTGTTTGAGCTTGCTTTCTTTTTCGGCGACCTTCTGCTGGAAGACCATCTTCATTTCTGCTTCCATCTTGGCCAGCTTCTGCTCGTGCAGGGCACGCTCCTCCTCCTGCTTGACGGCAGGGTTGACCTCCTTGAAGACGCTGGGGTCCTGGGCAACACCCATAAGGGTGAGCTTCTCGGACCGGTAGTTCTCGTACAGGAAGTTGTTCGTGTGCTCCTTGAGTTCCTCCATGTGGGTGCGGATCAGCATCTGGCGTAGCTTGACAAAGTCACAGTGCTCCTCGTTGTCAACCTCGATGATACCCCAGGGGTAGCTACGACCACGGACACGACGACCGTCAGCAGTGGTGACCTCGGAGTTGGCACCAACAACAGCGAAGGGAACCTTGGACATAATCTCCTGGTTCTCAGCAATGGTCTCCTCGTCGTCAAGCTCGTAGCGGGGGCCTTCGAAGATTTGGAGGGAGTGTTGTTCGATATCGGCAAGGATCTAGAAGGAGTCAGTATGCACAGCTTCAATCGATTCAAAAAAGGAATACCAAAAACTTACACGCTGCTTGAAAAGGGCAACCTCATCGTCGGTCAAGGTATCAGCCTTGGCAATGACGGGGATTAAGTTGACCTTGGTGTGCAGGCGGCGCATCACCTCGATATCCAGAGGCTTCAGGGAGTGGCCAGTAGGCTGGATGAAGTAGACACACGCATGGATGCGGTTGTCGACAATGTTACTGCGGTTGACCTTGTTCTCAGCCTCCAGGTAGGTGTCGTATCGCTGCTCGATGTTCTCGACAATCGGGCGCCAGGAGTCATCGTTGTTGACAAAGTCACCGAATCCGGGGGTATCAATCACGCTCAGGCGGAGACGCACACCATTCTCTTCAATGTCGGCGCTGGTCGATTGGATAGACACGGTCTTGGGGATGATATCGGCATTAGGACCGGTGCGCTCCTTCGGGGGGTAGAGCGAGGTGTTGAACAGGGTGTTCACGAGGGTGGACTTTCCGAGACCAGATTCACCTGATGGATATGAGCTTGGTCCATGGAAATATTATCTGTCCAACTTACCGACAACCATGACATTGAAGTTGAAGCCTTTACGGACACTCTTGCGATGCCACTGGTTGGGCAGGTTGGCGAAACCGACGTAGCCAGTCAGCTTGCGGCGGACCACGTTCTTCATGTCAGTGGCGGCCTGAGCTGCGGCCTTGGGGTCGCGGGAGCTGACGGTCTGGGCGATACCAGAGCCCATAGGGTTGCTGCGCTCGACGAAAGGCGACTCCGTGCCGTTGTTGGGAGTAGGAGAGTCCCTCGATGCGACGGGAGACGCGACGGGGGAGCTGCTCGCAGGTGGCGAAGCTTCAAAGACCTATCAGTATCTTGTCTTGGAAGAGCCTCGAGATTACCTGTCTCCTCATCACGGGTGTGATAGCTTACACATTGCGAAAGCCGGGGATTTAGGATATGTAAAACTGAATTAAGATCCCCTAGATGATGAATGTCGTCAGTCACCTCTCCTAATCTTCAGTGGGGTCGAATTGTCGCGATAGGGGAAAAAAATGGGGGAGCAGAGGGAATGTACCTGGAATTGTTTCCAAAAAAAGGGGGGGTTGGAGTAAATTGACCAGAAGCGAGAGACGAGGAAAAGAAAAGAAGAGGAGAAGGAAGAAATGAAGCGAAAGATGAACAAGGAGGATGGAGAGAAGGAGGTTGACTCTGCCAGTCTGGGAAAGAAAGGGGGGAGAGGTTGTCGGGGGGAGCCCAGCTATTCTGGAGTTGGCTTGGATCGACCCGCGTAGAAACACCTGATGTGTTCGATAAGTATACAATTCTTACAATTCTGGCTTTGGACTTGTATCTCTCATATATTGGATTAATTTTTTTTCTTTCTTCTATTTATCTGCTTGAACTGCTCCTATTTCATCTATATTTCGGGTCTTTTCTACCTATGTTTACTTCGGTACATTGTAATTTGTAGAAACCCGCAAATTGCTCGTGACTGCACCTTGGTTCTAAGCAATAGGACTGCATTTCTATTTCTGACTAGCAAGGGGATATTTTCTATTGGCGAGGACTGCTCAGAATCCACTCACGTAAATATACATGTATACTTACTTGTGTACTTGCCAGATATCTCTTCTCCTGAGATCAGGGGTTAACAAGCCCCAGAATTGGTCCGCCAATCACCAACTCACGTGAGGTCCACCAGTCAGGAACATACGGAGTAACATCCTATAGAATGGTGTATTACCAGAAGAGACTTGGATATTTTGAAAGAAAAAGAAAAACCTAGCCGTACATCTAATTAGCTGTCTTCGTCTTCTTCTTCGGTCGCTCATCCTCCGGTTTGTCGTCTCCTCCATCGGAAGCATCGCCCATCTCTTCATCGCTATCACCACTACTCTCGTGATCCGAGTCGAATTCCTCGGCCACATCAGATTCCGAAGAACCAGCAAAGTCTTCGTCAACTGACGACTCATCTTCATCTGCTGATCCGCGGTCGGGTCGTACTTCATCGTCGCTGGAGCCCATGGCATCATTATCAAGAGCAGCAGCAATAAGTCCAGCAGCCTAGGAAATAATTAGCAGTGGTAACAACATACCAGGGAAACAGAGTCCACATACCTCTTCTGCCATCTCGTTCTTGATGCGGATGTTCTTGGCCTTGAAAAAGTCCTCGAGGGATTTTTGCTCCTCGCTGTTCATGTCAGAATATCCCCGGGAAAAGTCAATATTCGGGTACTTACCGGTTGATGTTGCTAAATTGGTGCTCACCTAAGCCTCCCTTCAGGCTCACAGTGATGTCGAAAGTTCGGCTAGCAGAAACAGCGCCTCCGACACGTGACATTGTGACAATCGCGATGTTCTCCATTTGAATGTAGGTCGCGGGCTTAGGAACGAACATGAGGCTCTTATCCAGGAAATACAGTAGACCCTCGTTGGCCTTGATTGAGCACTTAACGCCTTGGTGACCGTGGTGGCTATGGGAATGTTAGCGATGGGCTTCGGGGGTGTTGCAAATATAAGCTGGCAGTTACTGACCTGGAGAAATCCTTGGAAG